CCCAAGCCCAAAAGGTTGATCCTGAAGCCAGCTGGAGCTGCTGGTAAACGTACCGGATACCAATTGCAGCAGGCGATGGGCCTGGGAAACGACAAGCGGCAGTATAATGCACTGATGGTAACTATAGCAGACTATATGCGCACAAACGTGTCTAAATAATCCTGGCTGATATTCTAACTCGAGGATTCTACGAGACAACTCTGTAGACAGTATTTGAACCTTCAAATGACACGCCATGGACAAGATGACAGCGATGTTGCTCTGTAGTAACAAAGGTAAGTATACAAGACCTGACAGAACTTAGAACTGAGGCTGTGTAGGTGCAGAAAAAAACACGAGTTTTTGCGCAAGTTTGCAAACGCGTGGCCAGTTCGCGCCTGGATCCAACAGTTTCTCCGCAACCATACTAACAACCAAAGACATCGGCTAAGTAGCACAATTGCAGTGAGATTTTCATCCGACCTTTTCATGAATTCTCTGAATCTACACTGCGCAGTCACAGAATACCGACAGCGAGGAGGATGGGGATGAGGAGAAGTCTGAGGAGGAAGATGAAGATCTGGACGAGCTCGAGGGTGACGACATGAACGAGGACGAGGACGAGGATGAGGACCCGGCCTAGACGAGGACGAAGACCTAGATGAGGACGAGGACCCAGGCCTAGACGAGGACGAGGACGAAGACCTAGACGAGGACGAGGACCCAGGCCTAGACGAGGACGAAGACCCAGGCCTAGATGAGGACGAGGACCCAGGCCTAGACGAGGACAAGGACCCAGGCCTAGACGAGGACGACACCTTGACCAACGATGGCGATCAGGATGAGGGCAAAGCCGACAACAACATCGAAGAAGATCAGCGAGCATGGACGATGACGAAAGCCACGAGCAGGCAGACACCGACATGGCTGAAAAGCAATATGTTCCTCCCCGCCTAGTCAAGCTATCGAGAAGCGGAAGATGACTATGGTCTCCATCAGCAAAACACTAAATTTAGCACAGCTACCGTGGCAGCTTACAGCATCTTACAGCACCTTACAGCAGTTGCAGGCACCTGTAGTGATGTGTAGCGACCACGTGCAGTGCACAATGACATAACTGTACATAAAGTAGACTTCTGCAGCGCGACATAGCACCACATAGCGCGCTACAGCGAACGACGAGTAGTAGTACTAGTATTACCAGCTCTTCGAGTTGACTTGAGTTTGAACGACTTAAAAGAACGACTTGAAACAAACATTGATTCATTGAAAGAATGTACTGCGACTGCTAATACAGTAGATCCGGGATATCAAGTCAAACAGTATAGTACTAGTAGTACTGCCAGTATATATAGTCGTGCCAGAAGAGTATCTATAGTTTGAATAACAGGTCAAGGAATCGGGCGCTACCTCAGAAGAATCTCGAGTGTTTGACTCAGCTCTGGGTCGCGCTCGCAGATCCTGTATCTATTTCATAGAAAATACGTCAATAGGAGCGGTCGAACAAATTTAACAGAATACAATTACCTGCCAGTGGCCCGGGCAGTGGCAGAGCCAAGTCTACTTCCGGGCTGCGTATCACCATCAACCTGACTAGTAGATTTGCGACGACGTTTTCTAGGCTTACTACTAGTAGAGTCTTCGAGCAATGTGATGCCGATTTTGCGGACCGAATGACGTACATAACCGATGTCGATATGAGCGTCCTCCAACTTCCTCCCAGCTTCTGTAGCCTCGAACTGGTAGAGGAGCCCAAGTGCTCTATTCTGCTGGACAACGCAATCTGCGAGTGTCTTCTCCGCAAAGCAAACATCTGCTGTGCACGGGTCGCGTTCAAAACGAGCTGGGCCTTGTGTTCCTCGCTAGACCGGGCCTGGGTGTCGATGGTGTGAGTAGATTCCTGGGCAATATTGACATTTAGTACTAGATAGCGTGTATGGATGCTGTTGAACTTACATTGTCGCTGTCTTCGCAGTTTGAGTCTGACTCTGTTTTTACCGAGAATACAGGTGATGGAACTTTGTTCGCGTTCAACCCGAGAGTAGAACGCGCAACATTCGGCGTGGTCAAGTGGCGCAATAATGCAGGGGATCGGTTTCGTAGAGCGCCAATGGCCCTAGGCGTTCCAATGTGCTTCAAGTTAGAATGCAAAACACCTTGCATAGCAGTAGGTACTACAGTAGTAGACATATGTTGGGCCTCAGAGATGGACGACTTGGATGGAGTGCGATGATGGATGATGGATGTGTTGTTTACGACTGGTCCTTCTGTGCTTGAGCTGGAGACTGCAGAAAAAGGTCCTATTGGTTTTGGTGGTACTGGCACACGTTCCGGCGTGAATTGCTTGTGTTATTAGATGGGTCTGGGGCTCATGCGAGCGTTTTGATCATGATGATCAGGTGAAATCCCTGTAAGAGACGTGTCTGTTGCAGGTTGGGCACCGGAGGCCATTGAAGTTATGCTGTTAGTAGTTCAATTTTCCCGGGTCACGCCGAGAGTGAGTAGTTAAACGTGATGTGACAAATTGTACGCGAATCTCATAGTACCTACATAGGCTAACTAGCGCACAGTACAGTGAGAAACATCCATAGTAGTAGTAGGCTCTGAAAGTACAAAAGAAATGCAACAAACTAGTAGTAGTAGACCAGCAAATTCAAAGACTCGGAGTGCTGGTGCGATAGACTCGGAACAAGCGAAGATTTGAAGTACTACCGATTGTAAATCGTCAGTGTTAAGAGGAAGTTGAGTCGAACAACGGACACTTACCATTGACGATCAGCACGGCAAGAGCCCACTACTGACGACCCTTCCCCTTCCCCTTCCCCTTGCCACTCCCCTCCACTCCCACTCCCATTCACCTGCGCCTTTGCCTCCTTCTGCTGTTTCCCCCTAGTAGACCCTTCACCTTCCGGCTGAACCTTCAACTTCTTTGCTGAGCGCTCAGGCTGCACGTCGAGCAATAACCCAGTAGATGAAGAGGCCGGCGTCGTGGCGGACTAGGGGCGAGTTGTGGGATCAGATGAGGAAGAAGTTGTCCGTAATGGTCGAAGGATTCGGTTGGGTCCGGTACTGGTAGACTCGGAGCTTGTGGGTTGTTGAACGACAACGTGCATTGTCTTGCGTTTGTCGTATTTGTGGTGGCGCCAGTCAAGTAGCGGCAATATGCTGTAAGGTAGATCGCGGAGGAGATAGAGTTGAGGGCTGCCCCCCAAACGGGCTCGAATACGGGATGGGAATCACGCGCACTCTGAACTGCACTCTCCTCAAGACCCATACCCTCCATCAACGATACAATGTAATCCTTCAAGCTATCTGCGGCGTTATCCAACATGCGTTCAACATCACCCATCTGCAACACGGGGTAAAGGGTCTGTGGGGGGCGAGTTGAGGCCAAAAATTAGTAGATACTAATAAGGTGAACACATAGTACGTACCCCCTCTGCGAAGGTAGAAGCATCCTTGTTGTTGAAATCAAAGTGACCGTCCGTGCCACGTTTGTATATGCTATAGCGGACCTCGCTGATATCAATCCAGGTGTGAGACTTGATCTCCACCGGTCCAAACCTCAAGCTCTTCTTGATGCGGGATGGGATGAAGTCTTCGTAATCTAGCGCGGGAGCTGAGCGAAGTTGTTGAATAGTGGTATCCCCTTCGTTCGGTTGTTGCCATTAATTCGCTCTTTGAAGGATATGATGAAAGCGTAATCAATGTCTTGATGGCCGTCGCATGTGTTGCTTAGCTTCCGCACCATGCAGTTGGTATCTGAGGAAAGCCCGCATTCTCCAACCCATTTGGACACCGGCTTCGCTACCACCATCTCATCTGACTCTATATCCTCCGGGGGTTGTGCTGTGACGGTAAGGTGTAGATCTGGTATATTCGTCGAATCCTTGTTTTGGATGCGGTGATTGAGGTGTACAGTGGTGTCGATCAGGAGCTTGTCGTAAGGGATGGCTTCCATGAACTTGTTCACGGCCTTCGCAAGGTGCGCAGCTGGTTGTTCATGGACGGGAAGGGGGGCATGATGTATATATCTTGAGTATCCGCGAAGTAGACGAATCTGTAGTAAGAAATAAGACGTGGTCAGTGTACGCGTACGACTCAGCTACTACTCTAGTGTTTACTTTGCTCTGACTTCAAAATCTCGCTCTTCCGATGTAAATGCTACCACCACCGCGTACTCTGCAGGCGTGATATCGGCGATGACCTCAGATAACGGTAAATATGAATCTACGATACTTAACGTGTAGATCGGCCTACAATTGTATGAGGTTGAGGATGTTGGAGTGCTTCAAGGACAATGGCGCAATGGTCTTCAAGTTTGTGTTGATGAATGGTCAGGAAGAAGATTTGAATGTGTAGTAAGCGATCTGAGAAATACTAACCTAAGCTTAAAGAATTGGGATTATCCAAGTCTGTAAATTGAACCCCGAGTGTTGTCTTTATTGCTGTCTTGAGGTCTTCAAGGATTTGCTTGTCTTGAAGTTCTGTTTCCGTTGGAACATGATTATACAAGGAACAGGAGATTTTCTCGAGTTGTACACATTGAGGAGGGAGGATCAAATTCATTGAGGGTGATCTTGAGAGCCAAGATTTTGAACTCTGTGAGAGCTTAGAATAAAGAGCTGGAAGAGCCATGCCAGTGAGATTGCTGGTGACAGGCATTGAGAGAGGTAGTATGATGCTGACAACCAGTGGGGGTTGGCCTGTCAATCATCTCCATTGATGACTGGAGTTTATTAGTCAGCTGAGAGCCACGTGTCGTAAGGTAGCGCTATACAGCGCTACACAGCAGGTCCTCGTACAGTCTAGGATTGTGCAGTGTCTTACAGTGACGCATAGTATCATACATCGAGCGCAGAGTGCTTCAATAATTAATATCAACTATCATCTTCATACCATTGAATCATAATGCAAAAGACTACACTAGTTTGAGATAGCATAGTAGAAGTCTTTGTTGATGTACTTATTTAGGAAGAATGTCTGAGCAAAGTGAGCACTATTTTGTGCTGTTAAACGAGAATCAGCAACACGACCAAAGCGGGGGATAATTTGAGCAAAAGAACGAAGTTGATCTAGTGGGAGGATATCACCGAAGGGAGTCCCTGCTGATCGCATTGCACGTTTTAAAACATGCATCTGTGTTGTGCATTCCAGCAAGCTTCCATGACGCTGAGGCATAACATCTAGGCGCTGAACATAAGTAAGAAAACGCGTGGCCCAAGGGGCACTACCAGGTTTTCCTCGTGGAGGAAGCGGTTGCATGATAAGGTGCACCTCAACAACATCATGGCCTGCAAGTTGCTCGGATGTCAAACTCGGACACAAGTATACAAATGGACATCTGAGAAACATACCTTTAAGCCCACTAGTAGGCCATTGTTCACGTCCGGTGTCATCAACAGTGAAAATAGCAGCGTCATAACGCCCATACTTCCAAGTTGCGCTCGGAGGATGCGCGTTGACTGTGAGAGCAGGAGGAGTGATTGATGGGCTGTGGTACGATGCCTGCTGCACGCGTACTTTAAACCAGACCATAAGGTCATTAAAAGGAAGAGGTGCATCAGGCAATGCTCGGCGTTGTCCCCTCAGCGAGTGGACGTTCTGAGCCATGCCCTCTCGTTGAATATAGTCAGCGAGTGCTCCCCGCAAGTCAGGTAGAGAGAATTTTTCAGCGACGACATCGACTGGTATGCGTCGTATCGAAGGATCGAAATTCAGGTGGATTGCTGCTGCACCGACCACGAATGTGTGGAGAGGTCTGGCTACTTCAATATCTGAAGAGAGTTGCTCTGCCTTCTTGAAGAAATCGGTCACTACACGCTTCGGCCCCCAGAGATCATCCAAACCTGTCTGCAAGTTTGATTTGTCGGCGTGTGGATCTTCGTCGTGCGACTCGTCATGATGTTCCGAACTGGCGTCCGTCATTCGAGAAGTAGAAGCTTGTGACTGTGATTGTGAACGAGCGATTATTGATGTTGCAATCTGGAAGTTTCGACATTTCTCTCGGCGATCAAGAAACCGGCATATTTGAGCATCATAGTTGATGTTGTTGGAGGAATCTGCGGGATCCTTGATTAGGGTGATGTGAGCGTGCTCTGTGGTGTCAGCAGACCACTGCAAGAGAGAGCCGACTTGACGTATGCTGGGCTCGACACTCTGCATCAACTCCAATTTGGGTATATGCCAGTTGTCGAGGACCTGTTTGCTCTTTGCACCTCGACGTGCACCGCAAGCAATGATTTCTTGCTTGTGTTCGTGAAATTCCTCGAGGGCACCGAGAATCTTTGACAATGCGCTTCGTCGATCGTTGTCGCTTGCGATATGTAGCGAAAGTCCATCAGCGCGCGAACAGCTATCACAACACTACGGGGGGCTGCGTCGGCAATGAGAGCAACAATATAGCGTTGCATATCACGTTGGGCTCTTCCAGTGACTTGTTTAAGCTTGGAAATGCCATCCTTGAAGTGTCGGAACGTCGTGAGTGGTTGCGAAACGGAGAAGCGAAAGTCTAGTTCCTGTTCGCCAACAGCTGCAAGACACCACTTAACATCGTGATCATAGAACTCACGGTGCCAGTGATGCAGGGGTTCGGGAGTGAAAAATACATGCGGATCCGCAAGTGACCAATCACGCCAGAATGGCTGGGCTACGCCACTCAGGCGGAATGGAGCGCATGCATTAAAGTAACCTTCGACGTCGAGGGGGTCACAACTAATGCTCGAAAGCTGGTCGAGAGTCATTTTAGCTGTTCGAGGGGAGTGCTGGAAGGCGTCTCCGAAGTTTTCATACATAGCCATAGTGATCGGTGAGGTCTTTCCTCGGACACATGCGAGCATGCATGCCTCGGGTGTATCGACAATGTACGAAGCTAAGGGAGTGAAACAGTATCTGAGGTTCCCAAAGTGGGTCCGACATCATCCGGCCCGATGCGTGCAGCTTGCTTGAGCGGCTCTAGCACGATATCTAGACACTGGTGGACTAAGCGGGCTTCAAGAACACTCTGCATTCCGTTTCACTGGATGCAGAAATTCAGCAATTGGAAGCAGCGCTGTTAGGAGGAAAGCATGTGAGGATGCCTTGTTTCGAGTTGCCATCTTGATATTGGCAAGGCTGATCAGGAGCGGGGTGAGCGACACGTCCACCAGTCATGTTGGTGATGTTTGGTCTTATCAGAGGACAGTATGATGCCTAACAATGTCGCACCATCTGGAAGTTGTGACTACGATGAGATGTGAGAGTTAGCAAGTTGGAGACCATTGATAGTCAGGTATGTATTACCTGCATCGACCATGCTGCGTCACCTGTCAGCCATTCATTGTAAATTCGTGATGTGCGTTCCACTGTGTGATATACACGTTGCGGCGTGACATCTATTTCTTTAGCAAACAACGGGTGGCTAAAAAGCGATTCGATACAATCCAATGGATCGCGCCAGTACAAATATAGCGGCTGTTTTGTTGGGTGAGTGGTTGAGACTATGCGGTACTGCCACTTCGGAACAGGAGGTAGCAGCTCAGCACGACCACGCAACTCCTTGGCTGTACAAAAGGAGAGAGACAATGCTTTAATCTGCGAAGAAATCAGCACTTGTGACGGTAACATGCCAGCTGACTCAAGCCGTACTAATTCGAGCTCCAGGAACTCATCTATGGCGGCCATACTTAATGACGAGCACAGGAGAAGAAGCTGCCGAGCTCCCAGTCCTGACGGGATCGCGAATGGATAGTAAAGGTTTGTCCTTGCGATATGCTGAATAGGGATCCATATTAAACCTGTCCCAAAAGGGTCTGGCCGCGCCGATACACTTTCGCAGCGTTCCTGAAGCGCTCGACGTAAGGGCTTCTCCGAAGCTTGGGCTGCCCAAAGGCTCTTCAACCGACCCTGGCAGGTCACTCTCCAAGCCCACCACGCCTCCCTCGTCACCGTAGAAATAGCCCGAGTCATTCAAATCCTGAACATGCACCATTTCCTCACTATCAACTTGAACTTGAAAAGGGCTTGGTGTTCTGGAATGACGAGGGTTGGATGACGACTCAGATGGGCCGAGAGTTGCGTGCTGGTCCGCGAACTGTGAGTCTTGCAAGATTTGCGCTGCATCCTCAAGCTGATCAACCCATCGTAGACAGGATGTAAGGGGCTGGCTCAGGTGTCGTGAAACAGCCCAAGCGCTCTGAAACTCTTTCAAACAGTTAGGGCAATTAGTTGTCATTGAGATTGAGCAGGGAGTCGGGACAGAGGTACTAGTGCTGGACTTTGCTACTGTAGTACTAGTACGTAACTCGTGAACGTGTCGGTACGATTCGGATTCGGTAGTACTACCACTTAGTAATTAAGCACCATGCTGGTACCTACCCATGGATGCTGTAACTATTATTTAACCTGATTTTGAAGGTTCATCTTCTCCATCACTCGCCTACTAGTCGTGTGCTTACCATGGGCCGACAGAGGGGGCAACAAGTCGGAGTCCCGTCGCTTCAAGTCGTTGAATCAGACATCGACAATGAACCCAGTGACGTCGGTCCAACCTCCCCGTCGTCGTTCCAACCGACCTGGTGCTGGTGCTGGAGGAAGGAATTCTCAGCTAGAGAAGATAGGAAATGCTCTTCAGACTCCGGCCAGAGCACCTGGAAAATCAAAGGTTCAGAACGTCGTTGTCCCGTTTGATGAACCTGAAAATGCGATGGCTCCGGTGGCAAAGAAGAAGAAGGGAGGAAAAGCTCCTCGGCAGCTTGAGACTCGGAGAAAACTTAAGTGCAATAGTAAGTACCTGCTTGGTTGATGTTCATTCCTGAAACTGCATCATCACGGCGGTACTAATGTTTGGTATTTAGCAGGAGGCATCCGAGTCAAACCCTAGTGCTGCAGGTCCCACACCTGCTCTACACGTCGCGGATACGGGAAGGTTTGGTTTGCAGGGTCATCCAGTTCCCTCAACATATGTTGGTTCCAAACCACTCCAGTCCCACCAAACGGATCCTCAGCCTGATTTAACGATATCTCCTGCCCGGCCCTATGTCCATGATCATGGTACCTCTCAAGGTGCTTCTCGCAGCGTCTCTTGTGGTATTTCTCGTGGTGCTTCTCGTCGTGGTGCTTCTCGGCGTGGTGCTTCTCGCGGTGCTTCTCGAAGTGTCTCTCACGGCGCCTCTTATGGCGCTCCTTATGACCATCAGGCTGATGAAAGTAGAATTCCAGCTGTCCAGCATCCTGCTGGTGCTCGTATTGTTTCTCGTAGTGTTTCTCATTCTGTCGTCAACCAACGCTCGGGCTCATCTATTCCTATTCTCAACACTGCTGTTCAGCGGGAGCCATCAGCGACCATGACACCCCACCATACCGTTGCTCGCACTCCTCCTGCTTTCGGTTCCTTCGTCAGTCAAAATATGACCATCGTTGAAACTGAAGAAGGTCATGAAGAGGCGGACATTGAAGAGGATGAAGATGACGTTGAAGAGAATGAAGATGACATTGAGGAGGGCAGAGATTTTGCAGAAGATGATGGCGTTGATAACGAGCTTGAGGGTGGAGATTTTGCGCAAGACGATGATTTGGATGAGATTATGGAGCACGAGGAGGATTTTTACGGGAGTGACACCGTCATGCACCCCCCACATCACGGTGATCAAACCTATCGTGGCAGCACGCAAGCAAGACACCCTACGCAAGCACCTGATCATAGCGTGTGTTCACAGGATGAGGATGAGGATGGCGCGGGAGTGGCTGGCATGGACCGTCATGATCGGAATAACCACACCACTAGCAGGACGGCGCCAAAGCGATCCGGTCTACAGAGTACTAACAAACAAGTTCCGAGTCTTTTGAACGCTCCCGTAGTCGTAAGTACTCACCCATACTATCGCCATGTATTGACACTGTTTTTCAGCCAAATATCGATTATGATATCCTCCAGGCTCACCACACGAAAAATTGTCGACCACGTTCTCCGTCCCCTACGTATTTGAGCAGTGCACGGAACCACCACCCGAAGACCAAGCGTGCTTGCACAAGAAACTCCCAGTCAAGCGATGACCGTGACTCTGACCAGCAGGACAACTTGGAGGATCTCAATGAGGTCGATATCGATAGTGGGAGGCGCCACCGCACCAAGAACGCGAAGGGTGCTGCTACCAATCGTGATGCAACTAATGTTGGGTTCTACCCATCACTCTGGCAAAAACTCCTTGACCGCGCGAAGGCTAATTTCAGGCTCTATATTGCTACTTCAGTCCCATTCCCCGACAAAGAGGAATCCATCGGTGGTACCGGAGTCTGTGGTGAAGTGATCGCGGAAGCGATCGTACAGTGGCAAGAACAGAAACGCAAACTCGAGAAAGGTATTTTCTTTTCTCTAATTACAGTGTTACCGCCCACTGACACACATACAAAGGCTACTACCCTGAGTTCAAAACGGGGATGGCTACCGTGGTGAGTGCTCCGATTTTTACCAAGATATATTTCCATTAACTAAGTCACACGGATCTAGGTCTTTAACGATGCCGCAACATTCCGCAGCAAGATCAAACAGATTGTACTTACTGTCGTTCCGATGGTATATGAACTCGCCCTCGGCATCAACGGGAATACAACTGATAGCGTCAAACTCAAGGCAACCGCTTTGCTGAAGAAAGCAATATATTTGCGTGGCGAGCCTGATTCTGAGGTACGTTGTTCGTCGTCCTTGATATTCGATTCTAAACATCTAGTAGGGTCGTGCATCTAACTTTGCAAACGACGCAGTTCGCATCGTTTGCCATAAGTCATTTTATGACAATGGATCCAAATCGCTAAAGCATTTCGCCGAGTTTCAGAAGACCATCCCGCCCGCAGCGCTCTTCCTCGTTGGGACTATTGTGAGTGCGCCTGTAGTATGCTTAAACTTGAAGTGCATTCACTGATTCTGAGTTTATCCTAGATTCGCAATGTCATCTGCATCTACAGTAAATATGGCCAGGTGAATCGCACCAAGCAGACGCCTATCGAGGATTCGGAGAATGCATACGATCGCATTTCTACGCTGTTCAACCGCACGAACAAAGACGCGTATCACGGGCCGAAACTTCGTCAAATGCTCAAAGCTTGGGCATTGGAAGGCATGTAAGTTTCGGCATGATTTTTCATGGCAGTAGCAGTATATTGACCATCGAGTTAGGAATGTACATGGCGCCGGCCTTGGTGATCACGAAGGTGACGACAGCTCAGAGTGGGATGTTGATCTCGCGTAGTTTTACATACTACTACTTACTAGTCCTATCATTTTATTTTGAATTGAATTATCATTGGCTTCGTATTAATGCGCTGCTAGCATGCAAGAACAAAAACTATACTAGCAGTACTGGTAGTGTAATAAGAGTGCTATGGAACACCATACACCACTGTATGACACTGCATAGCAGGTTTGTGCTATACAGCGTCATACAGCGCTACAGTGTTGTGCAGGATTGTGCAGCGCTGTGCCAGCTGTACCCGACTGCACAGCATGACACATCCGAAGCACACACTACGGCTCGGCTGCACATGGGGGGACCTTCCTGCGAACCCTGAGTCACTGTACGGCAATATGCAGTGCCACATACCCCATTTGGGTTTTGCTGATGTATACAGAACTACACAATTTGGCCTCACAGTCACAGTCACTGTATCTCATTCGTAGATACAACTATAACGGATATTAAGCATCAGGTGCGTTATGGCAGATTGAAATGGGAAAAACTAAATAGGTCAGGTGTTCATGCTACAATTCCATTGCAGTTCTTGCGCCTCGGAGTTGGTAAACAGACTCCTCATTACCGTGGTGCCTCCATCGATAACGGTCCAAAATAAAAATGCGATTTAGATGATGATCTCCACCTCCATCAGGCTATACGATCATTACGATGGCTCGGCAACGTGCTCCTTCGTTTCGTTGGTAGCCTGATGCTGACATTTTACGTGCAGACTGTCATAGACTTGGGCCCACGGAAACAATTGCACTGAATGTGAGCGCTTTTTTCCCATCACCGTTCGGTAAACTCCGCACAATGCCTTTTTCATTCCCGATCCTATTCGGATAGACCATTCTTGTACTTGACTTCCATAAGCCCGTAAGCTGGACGAAACCTGGCAATATGCTACACTGTTCTGCGCGTAGAGTTAGGTTCACCCATCCCCATTTCTGATGAAAGTGCCACTCGGACGGTCCCGTAAGTCGCTGAAAATATTCATGCTGGCTGTCACTGTTGACCTAACGCCTATGATAGAACGATTGTTTAATGTCGCACCCCTATTTCGCGCGATGACCAGGATGGGATACAATAACCCTGTCTAATGACATAAAATACCTGAACGGGTGATGCGAACAGAACCCATTTTCATCACAGACAATCGTTACACAGCGGGGGTTTGGGCATTTTACCACTTTTTGCCACCAGTAAAATTTCAATCAAAAGCAGATCTCGACCTGGCTAGAGCATTCCAGACCTAGCCTGGAACGCTCTGGAGAACTCTATATTGCATTTTGATTGAAATTTTGCGCGAGATAAAATGTTGAAACCGCCGATGTGTTAGTGATTGGATCATGATGGAAGGTGTCATCACCCCCGATAATCTACTTCTGCGACTGTTCGACTTGTACCCTTGTTCGAAATTGGGATGACGGGGTAAGATGGGGGGTCATTTTCTACGTAATGTAGCGGTCATGAACGATAGGCCGAACCCCTAATGATACTCGAGCATCAATGAAGAAGGCTCCAATAGAATCTGATGTATGATATGCTTAAAGCTAAGTGAGTCGTGACCCAAGACTGTGACTCAAACGAAGTGCGATGCTGATTTCGGCGTATAGACCCAGGTATAAAAGTGCAGTAGATTCTGCCATTAGTTTCTATCAATAGCCCTTCTACCACTCAGTACTCAGCACAAGCAACTATTAGCACAATGATCCGCGACGGCCTATACTCGATCAAGAATATGTTTCAAGTCGACAGGTATGTCGCCATGGCGGGCGAGGACAATGACTATGAGGTCGTGGGCCAAGACGTCCCTGATACCGTCTGTTTGTCTCGTTACAGCAACGTGCTTCTTTGCTCATCAACACCTATAGATCAAGGTCCTGGTCGTAAACAAGGTTTTGGGTCTTGCGACTCTCTTTGATCCTATGCAACAGAAGTTTATTTGGATCGATGATGGGGTTAGTCCATCTGATGTTGATAGATGCGAGCTAACAGTGTAAAATGATAGTCAAACAGGGTCGTAGGCAGGGACGTGCCTCAGGAGCTCCAGTTGTCCACAGAGGATGGAGAAAACTATGTGTAAGTGTGTTCTTCAGTTCCAGTGGTTCCGAGAATTCATCCGTCCCCTTTATCCCACAGGATCCATAAGCAAGACATTGACAGCGTGTGTGTTCTCAACAAGAACGGAAAGGGGACCCCGGTTTGTTTTTCACTGGTGATTTATTTTTGGCTGTATGGACTAACATCACTTCAGATCGTGACTGAGCCAGCTCCTCCCCCAGGCGTCGAGGGCTACAAGAGGAAGTACTGGAAGTTCTTGCCAAACTAAGTTATTTCGGAATGTAATGAGACCTAGTTGCCGTTGCTTTAACTTGTACATCAAAGAATGCTTGTATGATTAGCCAATAGTCGTCGTGACGTATGGAAGACGGGACAAACAGATGTCTTTCTCGGGCGGGCGTGTTTCCCATTCCGGAATCCGATAATTTCTGTGCAGCCCTTGTATGCTGCTCAGCGACCGGAACGAACTAGCGGCAAGGAAAAACCCATCAAGGACCCCACATTCTGGACTCGTTTCGTCTTGTTCGTCTGCTGCGTATCTACTCAACATACCACCGATAGCCATTAATAGAGACACAGCACAACCATCTTTTCATCTAGTTAACAATGAGCATGTCTATAGTCTACTTCCGAACTCGTGCACGAATAACAATATCAACCATTATACGCCCCAAACACTCGACATCCAATACTTGCAAAGCCAATTCGTAGGATTCCCGAGTATTAGGCACTGTAATATGTATATGTCCCGTGAAGAACCAGATGTTCCCCAAGGAGTGACACCGACTCAAGGCGGACAAACCGAACTCAGGCTCCAGCTCCAGGGGGAAAAGCCCTAGAACTCATCCGCGCAGTGACAATCACAATCCGCCACAGGGCACATACCACGCGAACGTGCACCGTCTTCACCAAAGAACCAATCAAGAATATGCGATGCATGTCCGCCATGCCGACATGTCTGGCAGATGACGATCGCTTCGTCGATAGTGTCTGAGGTACCAAGTCAGCCTGGCTTCCGACATTTGTCTATGAAGATATCACCTTGGTAGGCCGCCTGCGAGTGCGCGAGTTCAACATCACGCGTGGAATCTGGAACGATGCTCAGTGTCATCAAACAGACCGAACACCGCGGGAGAGCACGACTGCAGTGTGGACAAGCAGTAGGCTACCAAATCACTCAGCATCAGTACTTCCCACATCCAACAAAAAAAAAACAGCACCCACCCGTCCCTTTTGTGTCTCCCCCAACACAGGATTCATCGGCTTCGAACAATAATTACACCGAATCAAAATCTGCTTTGGAGCCCAATCAAACGGCGCCAAGTCACCACCCAACACCGCCTCTTGCAGTATCTGCCCCCGCTCAACATCAAACGCAACGCGGTGGTGGAACAGCTTGAAGCCGTCCAACAAGTCCCTATACGTATCTAACCACCGCTCGGCCCGAGAGTCTGCAAATTTGGCAGGGCATACATGGGCGGCGAGGATAGCAGCGGTTTGCACATCGCCCGTGCGGTCTACGTAGCTCTGCAAGATGTCCATGCCTACAGGGGTGAGCCCTGCGATTATGAGGCCTTCGATGTCACCGCGTGTACAAGCCCGGTCGGTCGTGCGTTTGAGGTAGGATGAGAGCGTGTCGTCTTCGAGAAACTGAAAGGCAATCGAAAGACGCTCCCGCAGCGGAAGCAATTCTTCCTCGAGAACCTTGAGCCAATCCTTGGAGGTGAGCTGGGTAAGCATAACACGGAAGTACGGATCTTCAAGGCGGACGATGAGGCGCTCGGCGTGGGTTCGCACTTCGTTGGATGGTGTGCTGCCAGCGCTGGGGATAAGTGCAGCAAGAGTGCCTGACACGATATTGTGTATCTCATCTAGGACATCACATTAATCACCAAACAGACCAAACAGTCAGAACGAAACATATGCATACCTTCACTCCGCATAAGCAACTCCAGCGCCTTGTGATACTGTCGCACAAAGACAAGCCAACACGCAGCTCTTGATTGCTGCCCCTCCTTCTCCCACCTACAGGAAAAGCTCAACAATAAACACAACAAACACATGAATCACACTTGCCTTCTAATCCTATGACTCATCTCCTCCTCCCCAACACCCCATCCACAGAGATGCAACGCAAACAGTCTCTGTTCAAGCTTCTCTGTATTACGCACGGGAGGTTTCCAAGGACGTCCCGAACCCGATGTCCGTCGGGCACATAGAGCAGCAACGGCAGCAGTAAAATCCCCATACGCAAAATCATCAGGCTGCTGTCTCATTCGCGTCAAAGGGTCGAGCGCAGCAGGAGTAGATAACGGAGAAAGACTAGAATCCCCCGGTGAAATTTGAGGTACAGTCAAAAGGCCGTCAAGGATGCTAAAAGACGATGCATTCGACTCAGGGACCTGAGGCAGCGCTGCAAATCCTTCCCATAGTCCCAAAAGCCCTTGGTTTGAGAATTCATACCCGTGTAATCTTGATGTCGGCGAGCATACGAGTTCACGGGAATCTGTGGGAGTTGAATATGACATCTAGAGTTGAGATGTTCTAATGGAACGCACGATGTATCCAAGCCCATAGCTCTGACAAGGTCGTGTCTGAGCAAGAGTCTTCCTGTACGACTTGAGAATTATGCTTCGGCTGAAAAAAAAATCATGCTCAGAACACACACGACATGACACTAAAAGCATACAACTCACGTTTGCTAGCCCATACCCACGAATAGTGCGCCGACGCATCGTCATCGAAATATCATCTTCCACCACTTGATACACGCTCCGTATCGAAGGCTTCCCTCTCGGTGAACTCTTCTCTCCAACTTGTCGATGTCCTTTTATTTTCGGCTCATCTGCAGCCTCAGGTCTCGCAGCCGTCTGAGCACCAATACTACTCGGGGACGCAGACAGCTCAGACTGCTCGAGCGGGTAGTCTCGAAACGAAGCTGGACTATATGTCCTCGCCTTGACCGGTGTCGACGGCACGCCCTTACCTTCCAAAGCTGGGAATCCATCTTCATCGCCCCTCCCAAACGCTGGCAAGTTCACCGTTTTCCCGCGTCCCCGAGTCGTCGTCGTATCCTGAACGTGTATATCCCATGGCTGTGGTGGAACCCCACGGTCCTCGAAGCCCGGGAGCACCTTACACCCCAATCCAGCCCCAATCGCCAGATCCCCGCGTGCACTCCACGACGCCTGTTTCGGCGTATCATGCACAGCATAAAGTTCAAGATCTCCATCCCTATTCACGACCATAACCTGCGAAGTAAGCGAAAACGCTTGCTTGCTCGGGACGAGCGCGAAAGACGCAAGAGGTTTACGAAAGTTCGTCGCTTCAATCAAGATCATATATCAGTGCGTGCACAACTCACAAAAAAAAACATGAAAGAACATACTTTTGCGCGTATCAGAAAGAACAAGCGCTAGCCCCTCCTGCGCCTCCACATTACCATGCCTCAACCCAACGCCAGCACCACCACCACCACCAGTACCACCACCAGCATTCCAAGGCGCCCAAGACCTCTTCCCAACCGCAGCCCTACTCAGCGACGACTCCCCCGACCTCTCCCCATCCGAACAACTCTCCCCCCCATGCGCAACCTGCAAATCCCAAAACCTCACATACGCCGAATCCTTCTCATGCACCGCAAGCACACCCCTCCTCGAGCTCGAAAACTCCACATGATTCACAAACCCATACCCAACCCCAACCCCAGCCCCCGATCCAAACCCCGACCCAACCCCACCCCCAGCACCCCCACCGCGCACCCTCGCCCCATCAGCAGCCGCATCCCTCTCCGTAAACGTCACAAGCGGCACCGGCAGCCTCCTCACATCCCAAACGGACACGACCCCATCGCCCCACCCTGCGATCTGGTGCGCGTCGAGGGGTGAAGTCGCTATGCCGTGGACTTTGGTTGCGATGTTGGTGGTGGCGGGGACGGGGGTGCGGAGGTCGAAGAGGCGGAGCCAGCGGGCGGAGATGCCTGCTAGGAGGAGGTGCGTTGCGTGCGGGAGGAAGGCGAGGGTGGAGACTATTTCGGTGGGGGCGTGTTGTTGGAGGATGCGGGGGTCGGTGCGGTGGTGTCCGGGTCCGGGTTCGGCGCGTGCTATTCGGGGGTGGGGGTGTGTGCTTCCAGCTCCAACTCCAACTCCAGCTGTTGGTGGTAGTGGTTCGACCGCATCTTCTTCTCCACCCCCACCCCCATTCACATGAAGACTAGTAGGCGAGAGAAGCGCAGTAGCAGATTGGATATCCCAAATAACAAGACTCGCATCCCCCCGGACTTTATCAAGACCCACAGCAAGATAATTAGGTTCCGTAGAACAAAACGCAAGAGCGTTACACGACCGGGTGTTGCGTACTGGGAGCGTGACGACCGGTCCGCTGGAGAGCACGCCGCCCCGCGCGAGTTTGGTGGATTCGAGGCGGATGAGGTCGACGCGGCCTGATGCTGAACCGACAGCGAAGAGATCGTCGAATGTAGGGTCTGGAGACCATGCGAAACACTAGAGGGAAAGGGTCAGAGTATCTTGAGTTGAATTGATTACTCGAGTGGGTGGAGGGCGAACCTTCATGAATTGTAGGTCGTTTTGTGACGTGATATGGCGGATTTGGGATTCGTCGGGTGCCCATTCGTACATTGTCATCTGAGAGCCTCCTCCGACCATGAACTTGTTCTCCCATCGTGGATGCCAGAGCAGTCGTTTCTCCGCCTGAGCGGAAGGGGCCATGCTAGCGGTGAGCCGTGGAAGTTGAAGCTCAAAGTAATCATTCCAAAAAAGGCAATAAACGGTTTATCGATAGACAGCAAGAAAATTGACATTGAACGATAGTAGTACACTATATTTCGCTACTGTATATGCTCTACGCATCATATGCATGAATCAAGGTCTAATCAGAAACTAACCCCTACATTACGGCTAATTTTACGAAACGCAGACTCGAAACAATGGCACAAACATTCTAATCAACATCCATCTCGGGTGGCCCAGGAACCTCCTCCTCCCCCTTCGGCGGCCCCTGCGCCCCCGTATCAGGGGTCTGCGTCCCACTCTGTGGCGTCTGCGTCCCAGGGCCATTAGGCGTGCCCCCAGGCGTAGCCTCCACCTTAACAGGCTTAGGCTTCGCCTTCGTCAAAATCGGAACCGCGAAATAAATCACCTCCTCCCTCTTCTTCAAAATCTCCGCACTCGTCAGCACAGGATCCACATTCTTCGGCCTCTCAGCCTGCCGTGCATTCTGGTCATCAAGCCACTTCTGCACCGTCGCGCATTTCTCGACAACTTTTTGCTTTTCGCTCTCGCTGATGTGTGCGAATTTGTCATCGGCGGAGGTCGCTTGGGAGATGTAGTCGTTGAGCGTTGCGCGGAGTTGGGCCATGGCTTTGGGTCGCTCTTCGGCTTCGCGGTAGCGCGCGACGATGGCGTCGCCGACGGCTTTGAGGGCGTCGAGTTTGGCGACGTAGGCGGATTTGGTGGCGTCTTCGCCTTCATCGGAGTATAGCCAGTCTTCAGCTTCTTGGAACATCGCGTTGAGCTTCTCTTTTTCAGCAGCTTGCACATAAGACGAGTAGCGCTCGTCGAGCTTGGCGCGCATGTCGTAAACATACTCCTCGAGCGCGTTCTTGCGGTCCTGTGGATGCCATCAGCACACATCAACACAATCAGTCATAAAACAAACCTCGGTGTCCATGACAAGCTTATCAGCAGCATGCATCTCCGCCTCCTGCTCTTTCAGCTTCTCAACGACACTCGGGTCAAGCGACGAAGTGCGAGTAGAGAACGGAATCTCATTCTTCTTCACAATCCGCTTCTTCTTCGGCGCCTCACCACCATCCACCTCCATCGCCTCCTCGCGCTCCTCAATCTCTTCCGTGTACGCAGACTCGAAAGACATGATCCCATGCAAATTCAACCGCGTCTTCAACTTTACACACGTAAGATCGCCGTTCGGCGAAGGCGGGACAGCATTCGCCGTGAACCGTGCAATCCACGGGTTAATACCTCCAGGCAGACCCGCAGGCTCTACATACTCTGCATCGATCTCAAACGGCTCCTTGCGGTAGAACGTAAGGATCTTAGTAGACGGGATACCGTTTCCACGGGGGAAAACGACAAGCTCGGTGTCGTCGTCTGGGTCGGAGGCAGCGCGTTCCCAGCACACTTTGATCGGGTACTGGTTGATGTCGTGCACGTGGAACTCGCGCACGCGGAAGGTGGGGGATTGGAAGGCGGCGGCGAAGGTGGCGCCGCGGGCGATGGCTTCGTCTTGGTTGAGGGTGGTGGAGAGGACTTTGCCTCCGAGGGCTGCTTGGATGCGGGCGCGGACGGCAGGGATACGGGTGGTGCCACCGACGAGCTCGACGGTGTCGATATCGTCGATGCTGATGCCTGATTCGACGAGGGCTTGTTGGAGGGGTGCGGCGATGCGGTCGAGGACGCCGGAGATGAGCTCTTCGTATGTTTCACGGTTGAGCTTGGACGAGGCGTCAATGTCGTTCATGAGTGATTCGACGTTCAGGGGGGCCTCGTTGTTAGCTGAGAGGACCTTTTTCAGTTTCTCGCAGCCGGTGAGGAGACGGAAGGTTGCTTTGGGGTTGGAAAGGACGTCGATGTGGTATTTGGCGTTGAATTGAGCGGCAAAGTACTGGATGAGAGCGTAGTCGATATCACGACCACCTAGGTGGCGATCGTATGCGGCTGCTTTGACGGCTAATTGACCTTTGGAAAATGCGACGACTGAGACGGACATGGTGGAATGGCCAACGTCGACGAACATGACGTGTCGTGGGTTTTCTGGTTCGGGGAGATCAAGTTTTGTGATACCGTAACCGAGTGCGACTGCAGTTGTGTCGTTGATGAGACGAAGTGGGTTGAGACCGCTAATTTGTGCAGCGTCGATCATAGCTCTGCGCTGAATATCGGTGAACCATCCTGGGACGGCAATGACGAGATCAGAGACTACGGTCTTGAGCTCGTTTGCTGTGATATCGCGCAGCTTGCCGAAATACATTGCGACAAGCTGTGTAGCAGAGAAAGTCTGCTTTTCGCCGCGATATGTTACCTAGATGGAAAAGATGAGTATGAGATGGATTAATTGATTATCGGTAGCTCACCTCTACGCCGACTGTTCCTCCGACATCGACGAGGTTTGCATTGAGGAATTTCTTCTCTACTGCGACATCTGGATCCTGGAGTGTTCTACCGATGAGACGCTTGAGAGCTCCGATTGTGTTCTTGAAATTTGAGGTCTCTTGAGTTTTTGCGGATTCACCGATAGAACGTTGTTTTGGGCCAAATGCGACGAGAGATCTAGATAAAAGAGATGAGCTGAATACGAGGATCTGGGAAAGAAGCTGCTAACGGTGTTGCACGATTGGAAACCTCGTTTACAATGATATCGATACCGCGATTTCTTGCTACACCGATCTTTGGATAAAGAGTGAGTAGATGATCTAAGCGAAGATGGGAAAGAAGGAACCTTGCTGTGAAGCGTACCGAAGTCGACACCGACGACAGACATTTCTTTGAAAACAAGTCTAAGGAAGGATGAAAGATGAAACGATGGCGGCTGGAGGGACTTGAGTTGTTGTTTTTAAATGCAAATTGAAGGTGATTGATAGATGCGCATTTTGATATCTCTTTTAGGAAATTTCACCATTATTCTACAAAGTTCGATAGTTTTCTGTGCAGCTAACATGCTTGGTAGTATGGCATTGAACTAGGTTACGATCATAGTAGAGATGTAAAAATAATGTGGACTAAAGTGAGAACGAATAAAGTTGAAATCAGATTTTGGATAAAAGTGGAAGAGTCTCCATCTTCTTTACTCTCATCACCCTCTGCCTCGTTGGTAAAGCATGCTTTTCACCTTTGATTGTTGATCGAACTGATCGATCTTGACTAGACATTCCAATTCGGACCCCAAAAAAATGTCAGCAAGGCAAAATAAAAAGCGCAAGGGCCGAAACAACGTCAATAACCGCGAACGAACAGTCACAACTTTCACAGAGGACCCAAACACTTCCTTCCTTGTCCCTCTACCAAGTGAAGAACCTGCTCTCATGTCTTCTCCTTTCTCTGGAGCTTCAACTTCGGCTACCAACACCAACAACAACTTCCAATCTTTCGGCTACAATTTTCATGCGCACGGACCACATCCGCAGCAACAGGCACAGCAACAACAACAACAACAACAACAACCACCTTTCTTTTCTACTCAAGTCATGCTACCCCCAGGCAAAAACGATCTTGAAGTACTTGAAAATTTAAAATCTGTCATCAAAGAAGGTCAGCACGAGTTCTATCGTGCAATCCCTCAGCCAGCTGCTCTCGCTAGCCTCTATTTGGGCCCAACTTCATCTCAGGTCCCGCCACATCCAGAACAGCTTCCTCAAGATTATTATAATCACTCTGCTTACGATAACTCTTCTGACGACCCAATCCCTCCTTCAGATTCAACAAGGAGGCCTACGGATACACCCGTAGTCAGGAATTCTTCTTTGACCGCTAATGTGCTTATTTTTGGTCTCACCCTAACCCTCCCTGTTCACACGTGTTTCTTTTTTCAGACAACTCCCCCACCTGGAGGTCAAAAACCTGCAAAAAAGGTTGAAGTTCCACTCGAAAGAAAGATGTCAACAGGTCCAGATAACATCGATCCTCCAGGCGACCATCGCGACAAGATTGACACTCCTCGTACTCTTGGTGACCGTTCTGGTGAGTATACCACTCGCCCTCCAGTCGACTCTTCAGCACCAAAGTCCACCTACGATGGCAAAGACGGACTCTCTCGTGATCTCCCCTTGGACGACAGAAGGGTCCGATTTGATGCAGAACGCCGTCCTCTCGATACACGCCCAAACGGTAATGACCCTCGACTCCCTCCAAGGGATCAAGCTTTCCTTGATAAAGACAGAGACAGAGACAGGGAAAGAGAACGTGAAAGAGAACGTGAATGGGGTCGTGATCGTGACAGAGACCGTCCTCAATACGGTGGTCGTTCCTATGGACGGAGCCATGCTCCCAGACCTCCCCCAGAACAACGCCACTATGAGCCACGATATCCATTTGACAGCGCCCCTCCTCGCCGCTTTGATTCAAAAGACGACTTGGATGACAGGCGCCCACCTCAGACGCGCCCTGACGATCGCGGTCCACGCCCATCAATCGATGATAGGCGACCGCCTGTTGATGACCGTGAATCTCGCAGTATGATGGTTGATGACCGCGATCGTCCTAGTCGAGTCACCCTTGACGATCGTCAAACGAGAGTCGCTGGCTCAGTTCATAGTTCTGAAGATCGCACTACAAGACCTCCGCTTTCACCCGATGACAGACCTGCTCGCCTTCCTCCCACCGATGTGGCACGTCCACCACTTCCTGTGGATGTTGATCGTTCTCGACCTCTTGAAGAGAGAATTTCTCAACAACCAGTCCCTTCTCTCCAAGATCGTATCAGCCAGCCTGGCGCTCCAAGAGTGGAAAACCGTGTCACCCACCAACCGAGCTTGGAGGAGCGCTTATCAAATGCACCTATTGCCGCTTCTGATGCCCGTACTAGCCCTGTAGAACCATCACGTGTACTGCCTTTGAGTGATCGTCCTGCTGCTCCTGCTGACCTCCGTCCTCGTCCACCTGTCAACGATAACTTTGCACGCCCAGCAACTCCTCCCCCTCGCACAAGTGGTTATGTGGCACCACCTCGGGCGGCATCTGTCGCTCGGGATGACCTCCGTGGACCCAAAGATTCACCACCAGTTGCTCGTGACACGCGCGATCTCCGTGCAAGGGATCTCTCACGGGAGAGATCAGACGTAAGACCACCTTTCCGCTCGGACCTTGACAGAGGGTTCGGTGATGATAGGCGCTCTGATGCCATGGATACTCGTCGCTACAGCCCACCTCCTTCGGACGTTCGAGGCAGGAGTTACTATCCTCCGCGGTCACCACCTCGGGCGGACGTACCATTCGAAGCTGATTCGGACCGAAGGTTTGCGACTGCTGATCAGCGAGACTCGTTCGATAGGCGGCGTGACTGGTATGGAGCTGCCGATGATGACAAGTCTCGTCAGCCTGCGTGGAGACCCTATGATAGAGAGCCCCAGAGAGAACGGTATGACCGCGACGCACCACCACCTCCCAGGTGGGAAGCACGTGAACCGGAACGGAGAGCACCGTTCCCCAGTTCCCCAGTCCGTCCTATTGATTCTTCCCGTCCACTGAGCTCGCGCCTTGGAGATGGGTACCCGCCCCCCGTAGACGACCGTTCGTATCCACCCCGAGACTTCGAGCGTCCCCGCTACACAGGTCCAGATAATGATCCCCCCTTTGTCCGTGGCGTCCGTCCGCGCAGCCCGAGTCCGCCAAGAAGAGGCGGAGCGAACAGTTCTCTAGACGATATCCGACCACCTCTCAAGCGTGCACGCGAGGACCCACCGTACAGCGGTGGTGGGTACTACTCGCCTCGCAGACCGTCGATGTCGATGGGTGATTACCCACCTCCTCGTTCTGCTGCGACGCCGCCACCAGGGAGCGGGACGAGCGGTGGATTCTATGAGTCGCGCGGTGGGCCTCCGCCGCCGTTTAGTAGTGCTTCTGCTGGGGTTGAGAGGGAGTATCCGCCGAGAGAGAGGCCTGGTGACGGTGGTCCGCCGTATGGGGCTGCGTACGATAGGGATACGAGGCCGCCGCGGTCGCCCCCTCCGAGAATGTATGGACGGCCTTCGTATAGACCGGATCCTAGGGATGATCGGAGGTATCTGCCGCCCCCTCCACGATCTGGTTGAGGTGTGTGTTTGTGGGTTTGTGTGGTGTGGGTTGCTGATTTCGTCAGGGGGTAGGAATATGTGTGTGATGTACGAAGGATTTATGTTGTGAATTGAGTTCCGTTGTTTCTTGAATTCTTTTTTTTTTCTGTCTATGCTTTTTCTGTTTCTTTTTTTGTGGGATATCATCGCTCATGGCCTTGGTATCGTACATCTACCTGTCATATAGTCTAGATGATCCAGAGTTCTCTTTCATGCAGAGTTGTATAAGTTTTCTGCTTCATTTGTGCTCCATATATATGTTTGAGATGTAAAATGCATATTCGATGTTGATGTACGCGTTATCCCAATCCCGATACGTCCCAGGACCATAGTATTCAATTGTACGATTGGTTTGTTCGATGCGTCCAGCGCTAGCCTGGCTCGGTGTTTAGTTACTGCGGTATTCTTATCAGCCTGAGATGCTCGTGGCATTCTCAGAGGGCGCCTGTGGTACTTGAAACAACAACGTCATCTATTCTCCTTGTATCGTATTTCTTGTACGATTCATTCTCTGTATCGATATGCCTGGAGGACACAATCATAACAATCGTGGGCATGGGCATGGATCCCCTCGAGGCCATGGCCGAGGGCGCGGAGGAAGAGGTGGTGGTGGTCACGGTGGACACGGACACGGGCAAGGACACGGGCAAGTTCATGGTCATGGTGGTGGTGGACACGGACACGGGCAAGGTCATGGTCATGGTCATGGTCATGGTCATAACGCCGGACCTGGAAGAACCAATCGTGCGTATGGAACCAGGGGTTTTATTTTGTTCTGACGTTTCGTTTGTGTAGATTCGTCGAGAGGACACAGTCACGGTAGAAGAGCCAGAAGACAAGGACAAGGACAAGACAGTTCAATGTGCTGCCATATATCCTAGCCTAGTAGATGATTCAGGTTCTCTTTTCGTGGCTGCTTCAGGTGCTTGAGGGTCTGATTCGTGCTCTACATACGTACCGTGTACTTGAAATGTAAATGTAAATGTATATTCGACGTCGATGTCTCAATTCAAAATTGGCAATTTGATCAATTCGATCAGTTTATGGAAAATAGTTACCGCGGCATCCCAAGTTACCCCGCGGCATTCTCATCAAGCACGGCACCGTTCTCCCATTCGAATTCAAACCTAGTCATCCATATATCTAACCGAATACCGATCTTGTATCAATATTCTTTTGTACGATAACTCGCTGTATCGCTATGCCTGGAGAAAACAACAACAATCGTGGGCGCGGGTCCCCTCGAGGTCGAGGTCGTGGACGAGGAGGTGGTCGCGGACGAGGAGGTAGTCGTGGACGAGGACGAGGACGCGGGCAAGATCGTGATCATGGTCATGGTCATAGCGACGACACTCCTGGACCTCGAAGCACCTACCCCCATAACGAGATGGATGTCGTAGTTCAGGTGTGGCAAGAACCACGATCTAACACCAACACCAACAGTGCGTATGAAATCACGGTTCACGATTCACCAGGGTTGATGTTTTATCTTGTCTTGGTGTTTGTTTGTGTAGATGTATCGAGAGGTGGGGGAGGGGGACGCGGTAGAGGGGGAATTGGGTCGGGTACGTCCCAGCGAGGTGGAGGTACGCCTCAGCGAGGAGGAACTACGCCCCGCCGAGGGATGGGTGCCAGAGGCAGAGGCAGAGGACGAGGAACATCCGACGCTCCCCGACCAGGTTTCGGCTACAGCACCAATCATGACCGAAACACAAACTTCCTCAAACCTGTCATATTCGTCGCAGCAGTGCTCACGAAGAAGACGTTATTCGATGAACTGGAAGATCTCATACAGCCTGTGGCTGAAAGTGCCGGTATGTTGTTCTTGTGTTTTTTTCGGTGTTTGTGGTTTGTTCTGAAGTTTTTTTTGGACGTTGGGCGGTGGTTAGGTCCGAGTGAAGAGAGTCATGTTCCTACTGCAGATCGCGTTACTCGCGTGTTCAGTGGAGTCGATATCCCCCCTCCACCTTCGTCGTCATCATCCTCAGAAGATGGTGTTTCTGATCGCGAGGAGGAATTGGAGGAGGTAGACTTTGCTGATATGGGAAAGATGTTTCCTAAGCTTGGTACTGCTAAGGCTTCGGCCAAGGCTCGAGTCCCACAAGCCGCTTCTTCATCATCTGAGGAGGTGTTCACTGGGGTATATAGCAAGGGAAAACATTCTGTCGGGATTCCTTCATCTCATCCAGTTCCACAGCACGAAGATACAGATATAACGCCCAAAAAATCTGTCCTCGAACCCGCCGATGCAGTCGTCAGCGAGACGACCGCGATTACTGTACACAGCAACACTATGCTAGAGCCCTCAACAGCTGCCCTAGTGATAACTAAAGACGATGACATAGAAATAGTCATCGATACACTAGACCCCATCTCACCCCCGCAGTCTCCCACAGCACCAATCCTAATTTCCGATGAAACCACCGCTTCTCCAGCATGTCTCCCAGCAGACGACACCCCTACATTCTCATTCTACGTGGATACAGAACCTACCAAACCATCTGCGCATCGCTCTGCTAGTGATGCCGTGCTTTTCGACCGTACCCCCGCCTGGGGCAGCGCTCCTCTTGGAGAAGATGACGAACTTATCGTATATGTTGCACCGCACCCACGATCAGGACGAGCTTCGCCTGTCCCTCCTATTCCCCGAGTACGGCTGCCCACGAATTCCATGTTGACAGGAACCACCAATCCGATGCAAATCCACCCAGTGCCCGTGGCGCAGGAAAGTACAATCGATAGTCAGAGAATACCCGCTGCGAGCGAAGCTCCCCAGTTCTCGTCCGTTTCGTTCGGGTTCGGTACCCCGACCGCGAAGAACCAGTCTCGTCAGAGACCTGTCTTCACTCCTGGCGATCGCTCAAAAGCGAGGGCGCAAGCTAGGAGACAAGACGCTCGAGTAGCGCGTAACCGCGCCCAGCGTCATGCGATGTTTGGGTCTTTTGGCGCGATACTTTCTGAAGCGAGATTGAGGGATGCTGATGAACGGGAGCGGAAGGATGTTCGGTGGGAGACTAGGCGGAGGGGTGATTCTGACATTGATTGGGGTGACGATGACGAAGATGGAGATGGAAGTGGTGTTCCGGAAAACGATGGTGTTGATGAAGTGTCTAATGGATTGGGAGGGATGGATCTGGACCCGGATCTTGAGCCTAGTTTGGAGGCTATGAAAGGCTTCGTCCACAGTATGAGTGCGGAGGGATCGCGGTATCGCACGATGGATGATATCGAGGACGAGCAGCGGATGAGGATCGAGGACGAGGAAGACGACGACGGAAGCGACTCCCATGGCGCCTATAGCGGCACGAGCGACGAAGAAGACACGGAAGAAAAAGCAGTGTTTGAAGTGGAGGAAGAGATGCTTATTGCAGAATCGGAGGGTGGAAAACCTCATGAACCCTTACCGTTGGGTGATTCTGACGAAGGGGAGGATTCGTCAGATGACGATGACCTCAGTCCGGGAGGTAACTTCAAGGCGAGACTCCGTCGACTCCGCGAGGCATCGCGCTCGACGAAGCCAGCAGCAGCTGCGCCTGGGGGTGATTCAGAGGAGGATGAGGATGAGGAGGATGCTTCTTTCCCGCGTTGGAATCGAGGTGATTCTGACAATGATTACATCGCAGGAATAGAGGTATCTCGATTTCCCTCCTTCCACCCCACAAGGGCTGACCTCCTGTACAGGAAATGCTCGAAATGCACAGCGGTATAGTTGGCGGTAAAGACCGCAAACTGCGCAAGCAACTGTTCCGTGCAATCCACAATGGTCAATTTGACCACGTCGATGACTACGAAGAATTGGACGGATCCTTCAGCTTTCAGCCCGCGAGTGGGTGCTCTTGTCATGTCGCGTCTATCAGTCATCTAATCGATTTTCAGAGTGCAAGAAAGACAAGGTGAAGGAACTACCTGCCGAGCTCCAAGAGACATGGGAGAAAGATCGAGCCAAGAAAGCTGAGCTCAAACGAGCTCGCGAACAGGCTCGTCTTGCCGACGCCGTAGATCCCATTTCTCCAAAGAAAGGCGGGAAGAAGGGGCGCAAGGCGATGCGGGCAGCTGCAAAGATGGATCCGAGCGAGCTCGCTGAAATTCAGAATGCCATCGTCGATATGGTGTCACTGGAGAAGCAGATTCGCCGCTTCATCAGTGATGTGGGCGGAAAGAACAACATGGTACTTCCTCCGATGAACAAGGCGTCGAGGAAAGAGGTTCACGAGCTTGCTAACTCGTTTAACCTCAAGAGTCAGAGTAAAGGCCAGGGAGCTGGGAGATATATCACTCTCATCAAGTCGACGAAGACCCGTGCTGTTGATGAACATAAAGTCAAGAAAGTCATGAAGAGACACGGCGGCAGATTTGATAATAATACTAGTACTGTGCCTCGACACAAAGATGGAGATGAAGTTGGCAAGGTACGGGGTTCCTCCATTTTGAATGAAACGCAGCTCTTACATTCTCATTCCCCGTTCGTAGGCTGCTCCAAAGATCGGAGAAACGAATGTTGGGTTCAGGATGCTTGCTTCGATGGGGTGGGCAGAAGGAGACAGGATTGGTGGCAATGCGTCCATTGGGATTGATGCGCCTTTGACAGCCATCATCAAGAACACGAAGCTGGGTCTGGGCGCGACTCGATAGTCACATCTTCAGAGCGAAATCTGATACCTCTCATGACCCCATATTGACCTGAGCCCTGATGAAGCACAGCAAGTTTGCCGTCCTCATGGATAACGCAGTCTGAATGTCACCTAGCTATTGGACATCACGATGAAGTATAGACGGGCATATTTCGTTGTCTCTTCACCAAGCCTACTATATTCTGCTCAGTGTTGGCGTCATCCCACTGCCTTTTCCTGTATTCCTCTATAGTGCACACGGCTGTAATCGTGAATTCACCAATGCCACAGCCTCAGGCCTTAGGCCTCACTACTTGCTACTAGTTCTTATTACACATACAATTTCAGCGCTCACTACACCATTTCCTCTCCAGGTTTCAGTGCTCGAATTTCTATGTGTGTGCGCATTGCAATTCAAACATATCCACCTAAATTTTATACTCATGATTCATGAAAGGCACAGCGTCGTCTTCACCCAATTGCCAGAGCGCTCTTAGGCTCCATCCTCCCTGTGTTCTTGACCAATGACAGTCCTCGTGTAACTGATGATGGTGATAGCATAGCAGACAGTGTGCAAGAGTGTCGAGCGGCCTTGCAGGGATGTCCCCCCAGTCATTCTGATCGATCGATGACTTTCAACAATCTTGCCCTCAGCCTTCAAAACAGATTCGAGCAGCGGGGCGTCCCGTCTGACCTTGATGAGGCCATCGAGCTCCATCAGGCTGCACTACTCCTTCGTCCCCCCGGTCATTCTCGTCGATCAACGTCTCTCAACAATCTTGCCATCAGCCTTCATGACAGATTCAAGCATCAGGGCGTCCAGTCTGACCTTGATGAGGCCATCGAGCTCCATCGAGCTGCACTACTCCTTCGTCCCCCCGGTCATTCTCGTCGATCAACGTCTCTCAACAATCTTGCCATCAGCCTTCATGACAGATTCAAGCATCAGGGCGTCCCGTCTGACCTTGATGAGGCCATTGAGCTCTATCGTGCTGCACTACTCCTTTGTCCCCCCGGTCATTCTGATCGATCAGCGTCTCTCTACAATCTTGCCACCAGCCTTCAACACAGATTCAAGCAGCGGGGCGTCCCGTCTGACCTTGATGAGGCCATCGAGTTCTATCGGGCTGCACTACTCCTTCGTCGCCCCGGTCATTCTCGTCGATTGATGACTCTCAACAATCTTGCCACCAGCCTTCAACACAGATTCGAGCAGCGGGGCGTCCCGTCTGACCTTGATGAGGCCATCGAGCTCCATCAGGCTGCACTACTCCTTTGTCCCCCCGGTCGTTCTGATCGATCAGTGTCTCTCAACAATCTTGCCACCAGCCTTCAAGACAGATTCAAGCAGCGGGGCGTCCCGTCTGACCTTGATGAGGCCATCGAGCTCCATCAGGCTGCACTACTCCTTTGTCCCCCCGGTCGTTCTGATCGATCAGTGTCTCTCAACAATCTTGCCACCAGCCTTCAAGACAGATTCAAGCAGCGGGGCGTCCCGTCTGACCTTGATGAGGCCATCGAGCTCCATCAGGCTGCACTACTCCTTTGTCCCCCCGGTCATTCTGATCGATCGGTGTCTCTCAACAATCTTGCCAACAGCCTTCAAAACAGATTCGAGCAGCGGGGCGTCCCGTCTGACCTTGATGAGGCCATCGAGCTCCATCAGGCTGCACTACTCCTTCGTCCCCCCGGCCATTCTCATCGATCAGTGCCTCTCAACAATCTTGCCAACAGCCTTCATGACAGATTCAAGCAGCGGGGCGTCCAGTCTGACCTTGATGAGGCCATCGAGCTCCATCAGGCTGCACTACTCCTTCGTCCTCCCGGTCATTCTGATCGATCAGCGTCTCTCATCAATCTTGCCAACAGCCTTCAAGACAGATTCAAGCAGCGGGGCGTCCAGTCTGACCTTGATGAGGCCATCGAGCTCCATCAGGCTGCACTACTCCTTCGTCCTCCCGGTCATTCTCATCGATCGTGGACTCTCATCAACCTTGCCAACAGCCTTCTTAACAGATTCCAACATCGGGGCACCCAATCTGACCTGGATGAAGCATTTAGGGTGTACGTGCAACTCTCCTACCTATCCCATGCAGTATCTCGTAGAGATCTTACTGCTGCCAAGTCATGGGCCACCTCTGCCGAAGAGATGAACCATAACTCTGCATTGCTTGCCTATCAAACCGCATTGAAATTCGTAGATCAGCATGTCACTATGTTGCAGTCTTCTCCACATCTATTTGATGTCATGAGGATGGCCACAGCTTCACTTGCCATGGACGCTTTCTCGTGCAGTGTTCGTCATGGTGCACTGACAACTGCTGTGGAACTGGTGGAGCAAGGCCGTGCCGTATTCTGGACCCAGTTGGCACGCTTACGCTCACCGCTCGAAGAACTTTCCCTGTCCGGTGACACCGGCGCAGCCTTGGAGAAAGAGTTCAATCAGCTGAGCTTTGGCCTTCGTAGCTCGCTCGATCAGTCTACTGGAGAGCAGTCCCCACAAATCCGACAACTGACCATCCAATGGAATGATGTCGTCTCCCGCATCCGCATGTTGCCTGACTTTTCTCGGTTTCTCCTGCCTCCCCTTTTCTCCAACCTGCAGAAGGCTGCTGAAGAAGGCCCTGTCATCATCGTCAATGCAAGCCGATATGGTTGTGACGCCTTGATTATCTTCAGTGCACAAGATCCTGCCCACGTTCCACTCGATATCCTGCAGACTGAAGTCTCCGAGTTGTCTTCGGAGTTTCAGTCCCTCGCAGAGACATTTGGCGCTTCTGATTGTCAACCCAAACTTGTCAGCATCCTCCGCAAGCTATGGGATTGTGTTATTGACCCCGTGGTCCGAGCTCTTAGGGCGTCTGAAATCCACCATGGCTCGCGTATCTGGTGGTGCCCCACTGCCGAGTTCACGCTTCTTCCTCTACATGCAGCAGGACCGTACGAGAAGAACAAAAACAACTTATCTGACATTTATATTTCCTCCTACACCCCTACTTTAGCGACGCTCATTCGTGCAAGACAGCGGGTTTCTCAAGAGGTGTCCCCACAAAATTTTGTCGCCATCGGTCAAGCGAATCCGGACAGAGGGAAGGAACTCCGTCATGTCGCTCCGGAGTTAGCCATCGTCGCCCAGTGTCTCGGGCCCGTCGCCTCCTTCACATCACTCGATGATGGCGACGCAACAGTACAGGGTGCACTTGATGCACTACACCATAATCAGTGGCTCCATCTAGCTTGCCATGGAATGCCACACCGGACACAATCGTTTGACTCTTCCTTCGCGATGCGCGATGGGCCGTTGATGATCAAGGAAATCATCCGGTCCAACTGGCAGAACCCGGAGTTTGCATTCTTATCGGCTTGCCACACTACCGTGGGCCATGAGAAGAGTCCCGACGAGGCGATACATCTCGCTGCGGCGATGCAATTCTCTGGATTTCGCAGTGTGATAGGTTCCATGTGGTCTGTCGACGATGAGGTTGCACGACAGGTTGTATCCGTTTTTTACCGCAAACTGGTCGATGGCTCAGGGAGATTGGACTGTACGCGGGCTGCGGTAGCGTTGCACAAGGCTGTGAAATCGTTGCGCAAGAAGATTCCACTAGAACAGCAGATCGTATTCGTTCACATGGGTGTCTAGTTTGATTGATCCGTCATGTTGTTGCATTCTATGTTATCCTGAATGCTTTCATTACCCTGTTGTCCCACCTAGATCCCAGTTATTAAAATCATGTCTGCACGATACTCTGTTTTTTTTCCGTTCTGTACTAGTACTACAAACACCGATTCATTGAATGATAATACTTTTTTTTTCTCTCAAACATACAGATAAACAGCTGTTGACATAGGACTTCGTGTGATGGGCTGGTGCATGGCTTTTCTTTGACAATATATTTCTCTGCGGCTACTGAAGACTTTTCGTGGCATAGGATGCAGAGCATCCTAAAATCTACACATCCTTTATACATAGAAGGGACGAGCCACGACATCGCAGCCCACCAATATTTGGGTTCACTATTCCAGCGGCATCGCATAAAGATATCGATTAGTGAACAAATATGAAGAGAATGCATACAATTACGACAGCATGATCCGATCCACCCCCTTCCAAGCCAACTATTGTCGCCCGGCGCACTGCGTTAAGGCCTCCTCAAGCCTCCAGCCAACAATATGCAAGAAATCATTATACAGCCTGTACCTCGAATCCGCAACAGTGTTGGCAAGCTCCAATGCGCGCTTCAGATTCTTATCCAAGATGTGTTAAAACTGCAGGCACCACATACAAAGTTATACTTACTCTGGGATATGCTCTCGAGAGGCGTAGAGTATGACATGCAGCCGCAGTATTAAGCTCGGGGAGGTATATCTGCCGAATGCGAGTTAACTCGCGGGAGTGACGGCCTCCTGTCTCGTCTGGCATCATCTGAGCAGTTTCACGACTGCATCGTAAGCCTGGTTAATTAACCAAGCAGCACTGGTGTTCCGGTTCATTATCGACACCTCTAGGTTCTGGCACTCCATGACACGGTCAAGACTGTCCTGGATCGTAAAGAACTGCCTGAAGTTAAGGTATTCTGTGGCTCGTTCCTCAGGCTGGTCGATGGAGGGGAGTTCACGCGGAAGCATCTCCACAAGGTTCTTTGCAAGCAAAACCCTCCCGGCACCTGAAGCCATATTGAGCCATATAGTAGAACCTCGACGATAAGCTTACCTAGGTAGTACCGCAAAATGACGGTCACCTGTTCCAGCGCAGTATCATGCGTTCCATCCTCGAACGCTGTCCACTCTTTGGAACGAAGTAGCAGGAGCTCGATATCTGATGGAGTGGCCTGCAACGGAATAACAAAAGACTGGTGGTAGAAGCTGGCAAATAGTGTTCAGTACATGAGTTTCGTGAGATGCGCGTCCCACCAACCTCAAATGCTCTATCAATTGTTCGTTTGGCAGCGACGACCGCCTTCTTGTGAACGTCTAGACCATGCTATCGCGCACGAGTCACTGCTAATCGACGATCGTTGACGTCCGCTGTAAGTTCGAGCGAAGTCAAGAACATCGCATATCGCTCGACTGCGTTGTCTCCTAGCGGGACAGCATACATTGCAATCAACTCTCGTTGGCCTGCAGCCTGGCAAGGAAATTATTGAGGAACAAACCGACTAAGGACAAACTCTCACCTCCAACACTTATAGGTAAGCCTCAAGAATGACTTGGGTCGCGAGCGGCGGGACTGGAATGTCGATCGTCTGCAAATAAAGGCAGAGGTAGGCGAAGAAACGCGTCATGAAGAAACGCGTCATTGTAGGATACCTGCTGCTTTGTTAGAGAATGTCAAACGCACGTTTTTCGACTTACTCTGATGATTCGGGATCAAAGGTTACGAGCTACGAACTTGTCCGATCGAGGATGATCGATGATCGCCAGCTGAGAGACATGTAATGCGTGGCCTGCGGTAGGACTAATTGACGGGTCAGCACATGGAAAATAGACGGATGTATGTAAACCGTACCTGTCCTTCACGTGAACGATACCTAGTGTTTCCAACGTAGATGTTCCTTCCCTCTCCCACTCTTCTTCCTCAGCTGCATCTCATGTCTGCGGTCTGTTTCTCCTCGCATAAGATACTGATTTGCGCCCACAAATGGTCTTCCCATATCCGACATGCAGACTTCAAGACATTGAATGTTTGCGGGCAGGGCACAAGAGCTGCATAGAGAATGCACTCTGGATCGGGGAGGCGGGACTTCAAGGCATGTTAACAAGATGGTATACAAACGGTTGAATGGCGCGCGCACATTCAGGGCTGCTCTCGCGCATGTTGATTTCCACAATTTTCGATGTGGGTTTCCCTGCCATCGTTCGGCATCCCAGCGCCATCGATGCCGTCGTCATCTCGTTGCTCATTTGCTATCGGGTAGATTAAAGATGCACATACGATGTGACGTGGAGCTTGACTTACCAATAGTTCGCTATTGAGACAGTAGCAGCCCTCCATGGCTGATGCTGCTTTTCTGCATGATTTGACTGCCTCGTCCAATCTACCAGCACGAACAAATGAATAGAGCGCGTGAGCTAGGCTTTTCTCAAATCCCTGTGAAGGATTGCGTTTCAGTCAGTGCTTCGACAGGCTCACGGCCTCATTAGCTGCTGCGGGCGGTTTCATGAAGCCATTCTCGTACGTTGACGAGTTCTGTGAGGAGCGCTGACGGATGCTAATGTTGACGCGGGTGTGTGTAGGGATTTTTTGCGAGTAATGTGCTGGGATGGACGTGTGGTTCTGGTTCTGTTTGAACTTTTGAGCACAATAAGGTAGGCTTGGCGATATGGAGATGCAAACAAACTCAGACATGGCACGAGAATAAGAATGCACATATGATCATTATTCAATGGGCTACGATGTAGGAAGTTGGTTTTCTGCGCTAGCCGAGGCACGAGGCTAGCGCAGAATTAAGTCTACGCTTGAGTAAGCAGAGTGGCACAACGCACCTTGCTCCAACCCACATCGGTAATCGAGCCTCAGCAGCTCGTTATTAGATTTCTCGTATTATCTACTCCATATCTCCCAGTCTTTCTTTACAATAACTATTTACTGCAATGCCTCTCCTCGCGGAGAACCCTAATCTGGCCATCGTTCCTGACTTCGAGTCAAACGAACACGCGGAAGCACGCGCACAGCTCATCAACGACACAGTAGACGAACAACAAGCAGCAGACATTCTTGCCAGCCTATGGCGCATTCAGAACAACTCAGACAAACTCCGTTGGGATGCTAGGCTACAAGAAGAAGCACGCACAGCGGAAGCTGAACGTAGACAAGCTGCGGAAGCTGAAGCCCAGCGCCAGCAAACTCTCCTAGCGGAACAAGAAGCCGCCGTCTTAGAAGAACGAAAGAAGAACAAATCTAAATATGCTCCAATCCGTAATATCGACATTCCTTCCAACCCCATTATCCTTCCTTGCCAGTATGCTATTCGCAGGATGAAATCAGGAGAATTTTGCGAGCTTTTCTATTTTACAAACAACGGCCTCGAAGAAGCCTCACGAGCGGTATTCACGGCAGACGAAGACGCTCTTATCATGCTGCCCACATCAGACGGCATGCACAAGTGGATCCCAGCAGGCGCTGCGAGAGATCCCAAAGCACAAGTCGTAAAGGACGAGAATCTCACCTGGGAACAATTCAACGAGGCAGCCCCTTGCATGATTGCGCTGATGAAAGAAAACGATTGGCCCGATGACAGAGTAGACATGCACATCGCTTTCTGGTCCGCACTACAAAATCATCGTTGGCGTCACGACTTCGAAGTCCATAAGCAGTGAGCGCTATTGTTGTACCAAGCACAACAGCGTCGCCGTTGGCATCAAGCAATCGGCAGTTCCAACAGCTGGAGTCTAGCGAGAATCAATCAGGATCTCCTAGACGAAGCTCGAGAAACGATTTTCAACCAATTCAGGATCCAGCAGTTATCCATTCAGGTACGTCTTCTAATCATAAAACTTGATACGATCTCGCACTAAATACTTTTCTCTTACTTTCACTTCTATCCCCTTGATCTGCGATCATCGCTTTGACACAACGTTTGGCATCACGACCAAACAACCCTCTCACAACTGAACATCACGCTCGGTCCCAACCCCTGGGTTTCCAATCACCCTTGCCATCGCGGCTCAAAACGCCACCAATGGCTCTCACAACGGCCAACACGCGCTACCAACCAATCTCTGCCAAAACAACACCCCCCACCTTACTCAACTATTTTCATAATCGCGAATCTCATCGCAATCCCCCCCCCTGGAAATCGCATCCCCGCTCATCCAGTCTCGTGCCTTGACCACGACAATGACCAGCAAAACCCAACAACCGCACAATCGCACAGTCAGCTCTCAGAAGCGTTCACCGCCCGCATCCCCTGATACAAAACCCAATAAGAAACTCAAAACCTTTCGAGACCCCAGCACACCGCTCCCTTGCTGTGCCGTCTGTCTCGGAAGAAATCCCCACCGCACTATTGAATGTTCAGCAACGCTCACATGGGATAGCAAGCACGACACCATCGCCGAGCGTATCAACAAGGCTCTATGGACCAAAGAAGGCAAACAACTCTGCACAGCCTGGCAACGGGACGAAGGTTGCGAAAGCGCCAGACACGACTCCCGTCACGTTTGCTCAGGGTGCGGCGCTGTCACCCATGGTGCCCAGCGCTGCCCTAGAGCGCAGAAGGCTTAATCCGCTCACACCATACAAGGCAGAGGCCTGGAACAAGGCACTACAGGATGCCGGTCTCTTGCCGCGTTTCGCGAAAGTTCTAGAAGGTCTGCGGTTTGGTTTTAAGTTAAATTTTCCTACTATAGCTTCTACGCAATCACCCCCTAATAAGCAATCCATCATTACATACAAAGATCAATTCGACGCCAACATACATAAGGAACTCCAGAAAGGACGCTATATAGGACCCTTTCCTGCCGACACTCTCTCAAAACTCATCGGACCATTTCAATCATCCCCGCTCTCCATTATCCCTAAGCCTGGCAAGCCAGGCAAGTTTAGATTAATACAAAACTTTTCGTTTCCACATTCCTTTGATCCTAAGTTCCCCAACCCATCTATTAATTCATCTATTGATGCTAATGATTTCCCCACTACTTGGGGAAAGTTTTCAATCATCTATCTACTTATTTCGAGACTCCCTCCAGGCTCCGAAGTAGCAACTAGGGACATAGCCGAAGCATATCGCACCGTCCCGCTACATCCATCCCAATGGCCTGCTGCCATAGTACGCACAGCAGACAACGAGTTCTGCGTTGACACATGCACAGCCTTTGGTTCAACACCTTCAGCCGGCGTTTACGGGCTCGTAGCAGATGCTGGTGTCGAGATCCTACGACACAACGGCATCGGCCCTTTAGATAAATGGGTCGACGACCACATTTTCTTTAGGGTCCGAAAACAGTACCTAGAGGCATACAACCGCAAACGTGCAGAATGGCACCGTAATATAGCCAAACGTGGAATAATCCAATCTGGGAGTAGATTATGGTTTGGAGGCCGCGTTTTCGACGACGGCTCGATAGAAGAATTTAGCGAGGATTGCTCTCAGCCAATCAGAGACCTCTCCGGTAACTCGCCAAGATCCACGCACGATCTCCTATTCTCCCACAACCTACAGGACATCGATGACGCTTCCACGATCCTCGGACTCATTTGGCAGCTCGCCAAGGATCAACTTTTCGCCCCCAGCACTATCTACATTGGTTTTAGATGGGACGTTCAGCTGCGCACGGTCGCATTAAGCCAACCGAAGGTCGACAAATACCTCATGGCCATACACGCATGGAGAAAGAAGCCCACCCACGTACTAGAGGAGCTACTTAAGCTTTACGGGAAACTCATGCACGCGTGCGCAGCAGTGATAAGAGGTAGAGCTTACCTAACGAGCCTCGAGAGAACAATTTCCGTCTACCGTAAAAAGCCTCACCTCCCACAGCGTCCTGACAAGGAAGTGGAACCAGACCTCAACTGGTGGACAGAACTACTCCAATCAGGCGGTGTCGCTCGCTCGATTCGCCAACCACCGCAGTTTTCGATTCCCCTCGCGTTCTCTGACGCCAGCTCTAGCATCGGCATTGGCATCGTTGTCGGCGACAGGTGGCGCGCCTGGAGACTCGTACCTGGTTGGCAAACGGCAGACAATGGGGCGCGAGACATCGGTTGGGCCAAAGCCGTGGGCTTCGAGCTACTCGTACGAACCCTCGCTGCTCTCCCTGATGTTGGCGACCACATCCTCGTGTACAGCGATAACACAGGAGTGGTCGAAGGATGGTGGAGAGGAAGTCAGCGGAACAAAGCGGTCAACGGGGTGTTCAAACGAATCCACCAGTTCATTCACGATTTACCCAGACATTTCAAGATACGCACAGAGTACGTCGTCAGCGGATCCAACCCCGCGGATCGTCCTTCCAGAGGCATATATGGACCAGCACACCTTCTACTCCCTCCCCCCCCCATTCCTCTCGAAATCAGAGACCTCGTCATCGACGCGACAGCTCCTCTCACCCCCACAGAGCTCCGCTTATTCCATGACGGGAAGTACCCCCCTCCTGCCGCTAAACTCATCAACCGCACCCTCATCCGACAGCAAGCGTTCGAGCGAGCTAGAGCTTCCCGCGCCGAAGAGGATCAAATCATCTTCGACGCCCTATCCGATTAACCCCATCGCCCCACGCACACGTTTCAGCATTCCTCTAGTGTCCACATCCCCATCCACACCAAAGGTCTCTTCCCCCCAACGTTACAAACCAGGACTCGTTCCCCTCCCATCATCACTAAGACCCCATTGTCTCGCGCGAGAGAGGCTTCGCAAATGGCTGCCAGCGGGAGATAGCACTCGTCGTCCCTCATCCACAGAACCCAGTATCCCGCACATCAGCGTCTCAGACGATCAACTCAACCGCATTCTTGAAGTGATAGGTTCATCCTGGGCCGAAACCACTAAAGAAACCTATGGCGCTGGATTATTAGTGTTCCACGTGTACTGTGACTCCTTTAGCATACCTGAGGAACAAAGATGCCCAGTATCTCCCACCCTCCTTCTCGCGTTTTTATCCAGCTGTGCCGGATCTTATTCTGGGGCTGCATTAGCTAATTACGCAGCGGGACTGAAAGCGTGGCACCTTCTTCATGGACGCTCGTGGATGGTTAACACCAAGGAGCTCAAAGCGATCCTTGACGGGGCCACAGCGCTCGCTCCATCAACTTCCAAGTCCTCCAAACGCAATCCATTCACTGTAGACATTTTGGCAACCATCCACGCCCATGTCAATCTAGACGACCCACTGGATGCCGCCGTATTCGCTTGTATTACAACAATGTTCTTCACCATAGCAAGACTCGGCGAATTCACAGTACCTGCTATCAAAGCCTTCAAACCGTCAAAACACATCACACGCGAAAATGTGTCGACGGCAGTTGATCGAAACGGCTTACCAGTCACAAAGTTCCACATTCCGAGCACGAAGATGGCGCCAACAGAAGGGGAGGATGCCTACTGGGCAGCGCAGGAAGGGCCTTGTGACCCGAAAGCCGCCCTCGAGAACCATTTTCGAGTCAACCCAGCAGGAGACAAGGCTCACCTGTTCGCCTGGAAACACCCCAAGGGCTTGAGACCCCTCTCGAAACCAGAGCTATCCAAGAGACTCACCGCCATCGCACGCGCAGCCAGTCTCCCAGACCTCAAGGGTCACGGCCTCAGAATAGGAGGAACCCTGGAATACCTCTTACGAGGTATTCCCTTCGATGTAGTCAAATCCATGGGCCGTTGGTCAAGTGATGCATTCACGCTGTACCTACGTGACCACGCGGTCATCATCGCACCCTATATCCAGGCATCCCCCGCACTAGAACCATTCACGCGCCACACAATGCCCCAAGTGCGTTAGTTAGTAGGGTGAGTGCTTCTCCTACCATTAAAGGTTTCAAGCTTCGCCGTTAGCGTCGCCGCACTCCTAATATTTTGGGATCACTGCTCACTTGAAACCATTAGATTCGTGCACATGCGCCAGGCCGAAAAGCCTTCCAGGCTTTTGCCCAAATACTTCCCCATTTCGTACATCAACCATTACTAAAATTCTTTGTAACTAAACGCTATCATTTGACCAACCTCGTTACCACTCACCAGCCTCTACGCGTCGAAAAGCATAGATTGTGTTCTAAGCGAGTCCGAGAACGTTGAATCTACATCACCAAAATTACCGAATCCAGACATCACGTGATACAGTCAATTTTCTGACGCCACCAAACACACATGTCCTGTCTGACACTACTCCTTTTTTTGCTCGAAAGATATGACCTTAAAGCTTTTGCATGCCACATATCGCCCTTGTTTGTCGCGCGCTTCTTTTCGACTTGCCAACACAAATAAATGGAATACGAATGTACGTTACTAATAGGGTGGTCGGAAAGACATCTACGAGATAAAGAGCTAGAATGTCAAGACGATGGCTATGTGCTGTCATGAGTGTCATCGGTACCAGGAGACACACAGCAAAGAAACAACACCACACGAACCCATGTTGTAGGGTTCTTGATGCGATTGGCCTGTTCACTAGCTGTTTCCGGCCGCCGAGAAACATATAATGCCTGCACAAAAATCATCGGACCCCAGTAAATCAATCACACATTCAAGAAAGACGTACCTGCTTGTCCCGCATTGCAGAAACTTCGACGACATGTGGACTACAGTGAGAGGATGTAGTCTGTCTTGGCCATTGCTGGAGTTCGATTCCTTCAGCGGCGTTAGATGGAGAGCTTAAGAGTGAGGTCAGGCGACCGAGGATTATATGTGAACTTGACTCCGGAAGCACTGGGGGCTGCTGACGTTCAAGCGTTTCACCAGTATCGGGTCGAAAACGGTGAAGGAGCGAGGAAAGGTGGCTGAGGAGTGCGCGTGAACGTGACTTCGAAGGCACTGGGGGTTGTTCAGCAGTGTCGGATCGAGAGTGGCGGAGGAGCGAGGTCAGGCGTGCGAGGAGTGCGGAGGGGGGTAACCAGTGTGCAGAGGAATGAGCATGGGCATCACGTGTTGCAGAGGTCTGAGAGCACAGAGGTCAGAACGAGGACTAATAAATGGAAAATTTGATGACGCACATGGACGTCGTCTTGCGTATAATCAAAAAATCCCGGTGGGAGTTGATCGGCATCGTGATCATTGAGCTCCCCAGTAGCATCGGCCTGAAATGTCGATGGTTTAATCATCGAGCAGTTTAAAAAGCCGTCACGTACGTCCAAAAATGACTTGTCAGTTGTGTCCTGCGACGATCGGGAGGTGTGCTCTAATTCTGAAGGGCCAGGAGATGATTTCTGGTTCAGTAGGATGAGCGTTGTCAGTAAGATAGAATGAGCATTACATTGATACTCACGTGAGGTATAGATAGGATGTCCTCTAGGCCAACTGCGTTGAGGATGGCGTAAATGTCCCACACGTACGCGTTTTTATCAGCACAAGCCGTGGTCAGCAGCTTCCCGTCAGAGGAAAATGCTGCATGGAAAACGAGATTTTCGTGCTGGAGGGGTGGGCCGATAGGGAGGTTTGTATCGAGATTCCACAGACGTACTGTTCCGTCCCATGACGCACTCGCAAGCAGGCGTTCGTTCCGAGATACAGCGATGGTATAGACAAGGTCTTGGTGACCCTCCAGAATGGAGGAGATTTGTTGCCATGTGGCAGTGTCGAATATCCTGATCGAGCCATTCCCCGACCCAGAAATAAGCTTCCTTCCATCCGACGTCCAGGTCAGGCTCCAAGCCCACTCGTGTTTGATTGTGGAGAGTAGCTCGCCTGTATTTGCATTCCAGATTTTGATTGCAGTCTCTTTGTATCCGCCTGTCGCAATTTTTGTTGCATTGGGCGAGTAGCTCACTGCGTACACCGACTCGTGTCCCGTCTGGATTGGATTCAGACCCAGGGCCAAGACTGGCTCACCGCTCTCGACATCCCATACTTTTGCCGTCCCGTCAAAGGATCCGCTCACTACTCGCTCACCATTCGGACTCCAGCACACCGACTGCACAGTTTGAGTGTGTCCTCTCCATTTGGAAATGACCATCCCCGTCTCGACGTCCCACAACCTCACTGTCCCGTCAACGTTTCCGCTTGCAACTGTCTTGCCATTTGGAGACAGTGACATGGTCCACACTCCTGTCTTATTCTCTTCGTCGCGCCAGTCGTCCCCTATCTGTGCACCGCTTTCCAAGTCCCACATTCGGAGTGAGCCATCTTTCGAACATGTGATGACGCGCTGTCCATCTGGCAGGTGTACAACGCATTTTACATAGTCAGTATGGCCCTTTATGGTCTGGTTTGGCTTTATTGCTGTTGTTTCTTGCATCTTAGCAGGGGGGGAATATATGCTTGGTGCTTGGGGGTGTAACCTAGCGAGTCCCTGAGGATGAATCGTGGAATTTGGATGTAAGCACAACTCGTTGAAATCTTATTTGAATGAAAGCTGATGGCCTTGGAAATATTGCCGGTGAGTTCAACTGGACTATCTGCTTGGACATTAACTATTGTCAAAAGAAGCGCTCGAGGTATTGCTCACAAGATAGCCCGTATAGATGAATTCAATGATCCACAGGACGGCCCCGGGATTACGTATTCTTTGATATCTGATACTGGTGCCAGCGGAGGGGCACTTTTCCTGCTGTACCGCTCAAGAGAATTAGACACAACTGCGCTCCACAATAAACAAGAGGTTTCTTGGCGGGGACAGCAGACGTCGGTTTGGAGTCGATGAAGTTGGGTGATTGTTGCTTCAACTCGTCTACTAAGGTGTGTGACATTGCACGTCATTGTTATCCTGTGTCCTCTGCACAGTTTCACGTTGCTGTGCAGAAAAAGCGCTCAGGCCGCCGTGACTGACACCACGTGTGTCTTCCTGCATTTTACCTGGATGCGGTCGTGACCGTCAGCTTGCCGAATGAGTCATCTTCTGCGTTTCAAATTGCTGCATCGCCCTATCTATTTCAGGCCTGGTTGCTGTATTGTGCTGTGTCGACGTCATGATGACCCCGATTATTCAAGTTGGTACTGTGGCGCCGGTGAGCAGCCGCAACTTCTGCAGTCCCAGTTTAAGCGACGGTTTCAGCTACAGGTGCCCAGAGTTGAGAATGACGATACAATTTTCCAAAGTACTGATAGAGGTGATGTATTGGTTAGAATATGGAATACACAAATGTACATTACTGATATGGTAGTCGACAATTTATCTATGAGATACAAGATTTGGGATGCCAGGTCGATGTCTATGTGCTGCCGTGAGTGTCGTTGGTACCAGGAGGTACACAGCAAATAAAGCCTGCGTCAATTTTGTGAAGAACACCCGAATCTGTGGAGCACGTCAACACTTGACACTCCGTCTGAAAACCAACATTAGGTTAATGAATCAGAGGCAATACAAGACGAATGTACTAAGATGGCACCATGTGACACTACTGGTAGTACGGGCACAGAGGACAAGCACTGTAAATATGGTGCCTGTACGCAGACGGACACTCACGCATATGCTGATCATTAACGAGGATGTTTGGAATTCAGTTCGGGCGACATAAGATGTTGTTTGAACGTGATCTCTACCCTAGGATTCTGCGTCACAGGCGCTTCACCTGGCCCGTTGGGCCGCCATCAGCAAAACCCTTGTGTGATTTGAGGCAATGTTATGATGAGTGCAGGGCAGCGTGAAAATGCTGTGCCACTAGGCTGTGGCAATCGAGCCCCCCTGAAATATAATTCGATCTATAAATCGACTAATTACCGTGCACAGATGTTCCTTATGTCGTATAATTTCTTTTTTCCCCAGAGTGCTGTGCATGCAGTGTTAGCGTCAATCTCACTTCGATATTCTTCACACAGCTATAATTAATCATGAATTCACACTCAGCTTGCTACTAGTTCTACAAATACAAGTTCAGCGCTCACTATACCATTTCCTCTCCAGGTTTCAGTGCTCGAATTCCAACGTGCGTGCGGATTGCAATTCAAACATATCTACCTGGATTTGTACTCATGAAAGGCATAGTGTCGTCTTCGCCCATTGATAGAGCTTTTTGGCTTCATCCTCCCTGTGTCCTTCACCAGTGACAGTCCTCGTGTAACTTGATCACAATAGCATGGCAGACAGGATGCAAATGTATCGACTCGGAGCGGCCTTGCAGAACTTTCCCCCCGGGTCTCTCAACAATCTTGCCAACTCTCTCAACAATCTTGCCAACAGCCTTTATAACAGATTCGAGCAGCGGGGCGTCCCGTCTGACCTTGATGAGGCCATCGAGCTCCATCGGTCTGCACTACTCCTTCGTCCCGCCGGTCATTCTGAACGATCATCGGCTCTCATAAATCTTTCCATCAGCCTTCAACGGAGATTTGAGCATCGGGGCGTCCCGTCTGACCTTGATGAAGCCATTGAACTCTATCAGGCTGCACTACTCATTTGTCCCCCCGGTCATTCTCATCGATTTGCGTGTCTCAACAATCTTGCCACCAGTATTTATGACAGATTCAAGCATCGGGGCGTCCCGTCTGACCTTGATGAGGCCATCGAGCTCCATCGGGCTACATTACTCCTTTGCCCCCCTGGTCATTCTGATCGATCAGCGTCTCTCAACAATGTTGCCAACAGCCTTCTAAACAGATTCGAGGAGCGAGGCGTCCCGTCTGACCTTGATGAGGCCATCGAGCTCTATCGGACTGCACTACTCATTTGTCCCTCCGGTCATTCTTCTGATCGATTAGCGTCTCTCAATAATCTTGCCCACAACCTTCTAAACAGATTCGAGCAGCGGAGCGTTCCGTCTGACCTTGATGAGGCCATCGAGCTCTATCAGGCTGCATTACTCATTTGTCCCCCCGGTCATTCTAATCGATCAGCGTCTCTCAACAATGTTGCCAACAGCCTTCTAAACAGATTCGAGGAGCGAGGCGTCCCGTCTGACCTTGATGAGGCCATCGAGCTCTATCGGGCTGCACTACTCATTTGTCCCTCCGGTCATTCTTCTGATCGATTAGCGTCTCTCAATAATCTTGCCCACAGCCTTCTAAACAGATTCGAGCAGCGGAGCGTCCCGTCTGACCTTGATGAGGCCATCGAGCTCTATCAGGCTGCATTACTCATTTGTCCCCCCGGTCATTGTTTTCGATTTAAGTGTCTCAGCAATCTTGCCACCAGTATTTATGACAGATTCAAGCATCGGGGCGTCCAGTCTGACCTTGATGGGGCCATCGAGCTCCATCGGGCTGCACTACTCCTTTGTCCCCCTGGTCATTCTGATCGATCACCGTGTCTCGCCGGTCTTGCCAACAGCCTTTCAAACAGATTCAAGCAGCGGGGCGTCCAGTCTGACCTTGACGAGGCCATCGAGCTCTATCGGGCTGCACTACTCCTTTGTCGCCCTGGTCATTATGATCACTCAATGTCTTTACACAATCTTGCCAACAGCCTTCTAAACAGATTCGAGCATCGGGGCGTCCCGTCTGACCTTGATGAGGCCATCGAACTCCATCGGGCTGCACTACTCCTTCGTCCCCCCGGTCATTCTGCTCGCTCAATGTCTCTCGGCAGTCTTGCCAACAGCCTTTTTAACAGATTCGAGCAGCGGGGCGTCCCGTCTGACCTTGATGAGGCCATTGAGCACTATCAGGCTGCACTACTCCTTCGTCCCGCCGCTCATTCTGATCGATCAATGTCTCTCAACAATCTTGCCAACAGCCTTCGAACCAGATTCAATCGTTGGGGCGTCCCGTCTGACCTTGATGAGGCCATCGAGCTCGATCGGGCTGCACTACTCCTTCGCCCCCCCGGTCATTCTAATCGATCAATATCTCTCAGCAGTCTTGCCCACAGCCTCGATGACAGATTCAAGCAGCGGGGCGTCCAGTCTGACCTTGATGAGGCCATCGAGCTCTATCAGGCTGCGCTACTCCTTCGTCCCGCCGGTCATACTGATCGGTCAAGGTCTCTCAACAATCTTGCCATGAGTCTTCAAACCAGATTCGAGCAGCGGGGCGTCCCGTCTGACCTTGATGATGCTATCGAGCTCCATCAGGCTGCACTACTCCTTTGTCCCCCCGATCATTCTAAACGATCATTGGTCCTCAGTGATCTTGCCAACAGCCTTTGTATCAGATCCTGGCAGCGGGGCGTCCCGTCTGGCTTTGATGAAGCATTTAGGTTGTATGCGCAACTCTCCTACCTATCTCATGCAGTCTCCCATACGGATCTTACCGCTGCCAAGACATGGACCATCTCTGCCGAAGTGACGAACCATGACTCTGCATTGCTTGCCTATCAAACTGCATTGAAATTCCTAGATCAGCATGTTACAATACTGTCGCCTTCTCCACACCTATTTGATGTCGTCAGGACTGCCACAGCTTCACTTGCCATGGACGCTTGCTCGTGCAGTATTCGTCATGGCGCACTGAAAACTGCTGTGGAACTGGTGGAGCAAGGCCGTGCCGTATTCTGGACCCAGTTGGCACGCTTACGCTCACCGCTTGATGAACTTTCCCTGTCCGGTGACACCGGCGCAGCCTTGGAGAAAGAGTTCAAGCAGCTGAGCTTTGGCCTTCGTAGCGCGTTTGAACGGTCTACTGAAGAGCAGTCCCCACAAATGCGACAACTGACCATCCAATGGAATGATGTCGTCTCCCGCATCCGCATGCTGCCTGGCTTTTCTCGCTTTCTCCTGCCTCCCCTTTTCTCCAACCTACAGAAGGCGGCTGAAGAAGGCCCTGTCATCATCGTCAATGCAAGCCAATATGGCTGTGATGCCTTGATTGTCTTCAGTGCACAAGATCCTGTCCACGTTCCACTCGATATCCCGCAGACTAAAGTCTCCGAGTTGTCTTCGGAGCTTCAGTCCCTCGCAGAGCAATTTGGTGCTTCTGATTGTCAATTCAGACTTGTCAGCATCCTCCGCAAGCTTTGGGATCGTGTTGTTGACCCTGTGGTCCGAGCTCTTGAGGCGTTTGAAATCCACCATGGCTCGCGTATCTGGTGGTGCCCCACTGCCGAGTTCACGCTTCTTCCTCTACATGCAGCAGGACCGTACGGGAAGAACAAAAACAACTTATCTGACATCTATGTCTCCTCTTACACCCCCACTTTGGCGACACTCATTCGGGCGAGACAGCGGGTTTCTCAAGAGGTGTCCGCACAACATTTTGTTGCCATCGGTCAAGCAAATCCGGACGGAGGGAAGGAACTCTGTCATGTCGCTCCTGAGTTAGCCATCGTCGCTCAGCGTCTCGCGCCCGTCGTCTCCTTCACATCACTCGAGGATGACGATGCAACAGTCCAGGGCGCACTTGCTGCACTAAATCATAATCAGTGGCTCCATTTAGCTTGCCATGGAATGCCACACCGGACACAATCGTTTGACTCTTCCTTCGCAATGCGCGATGGGCCGTTGATGATCAAGGAAATCATCCGGTCCGACTGGCAGAGCCCGGAGTTTGCATTCTTGTCGGCTTGCCACACTACCGTGGGTCATAAAAAGAGTCCCGACGAGGCGATACATCTCGCTGCGGCGATGCAATTCTCTGGATTCCGCAGTGTGATAGGTTCCATGTGGTCTGTCGACGATGAGGTTGCACTACAGGTTGTGTCCGTTTTCTACCGCAAACTGGTCGATGGCTCAGGGAGATTGGACTGTACGCGGGCTGCGGTAGCGTTGCACAAAACTGTGAAATCGTTGCGCAAGAAGATCCCACTAGAACAGCAGATCGTGTTTGTTCACATAGGTGTCTAGTTTGATTGATTCGTCATGTTATTGCATTATATGTTATCCTGATTGCTTTCATTACCCTGTTGTCCCACCTAGATCCCAGTCATTCAAATATTGTCTGCACGATACTCTGTTTTTTTTTTCCGTTGTGTACTAGTACTGCAAGCACCGATCCATTGAATGATTATACATTACTTTGTCAAACATACTAATAAGCTGGCTGTTGATACGGGACTTTGTGGGATTGGCTGGTGCATGGCTCTTCTTTGATAATATATATTTTTTGCGGTTACCCAAGACTTTGCGTGGCGTAGAATGCTACAACCTACACATCCTTTCTACATAGAAGGGACGAGCCACGACCTCGCAGCCCACCAACATTTAGGCTCATAATTCCAGTGGCATCGCATAAAGATATCGATGGTCTCCTGTCTAGTCTGGCATCATCCAATCCGAAGTGAACAGTTTCACGACTGCATTGTAAGCCTGGTCAATTAACCAAGCAGCCCTGGTGTTCCGGTTCATCATCGACACCCCTAGGCTCTGGCACTCCACGACACGGTCAAGACTGTCCTGGATCGTCAAGAACTGCCTGTAGTGAAGGTATTCTGTGGCTCGTTCCTCAGGCTGGTCGATGGAGGGGAGTTCACGCGGAAGCATCTCCACAAGGTTCTTTGCAAGCAAAACCCTCCCGGCACCTGAAGCCACTTCAGGTGCCGTATTGAGCCATGATAGTAGAACCTCGACAATAAGCTTACCTAGGAAGTACCACAAAATGACGGTCACCTGTTCCAGCGCAGTATCATGCATTCCATCCTCGAACGCTGTCCACTCTATGGAACAAAGCAGCAAGAACTCGACATCTGAGGGAGTGGCCTGCAACGGAATGACAGAAGACTGGTCCGTTCATTGAGGGTAGAAGCTGGCAAATAGTGTTCAGTACATGAGTTTCGTGAGATGCCCGTCCCACCAACCTCAAATGCTCTATCAATTGTTCGTTTGGCAACGACGACCGCCACCTTGTGAACGTCTAGACCATTCTCTCGCGCACGAGTCAATGCTAATCGACGATCGTTGACGTCCGCGGCAAGTTCGAGCGAAGTCAAGAACATCGCATATCGCTCGACTGCGTTGTCTCCTAGTGCGCCAGCATACATTGCAATCAGCTCTCGTTGGCCTGCAGCCTGACAAGGAAATTACTGCGGAACAAAACGACCAAGGACAAACTCTCACCTCCAACACTTGTAGGTAAGCCTCGAGAATGACTTTGGTCACAAGCGACGGCACCGGAATGTCGATCATCTGCAAATAAAGGCAGAGGTGGGCGAAGAAACGCGTCATTGTAGGATACCTGTTGCTTTGTTAGAGAATGTCAAACGCGCTTTTTTCGACTTACTATGATGATTCGGGATCAAAGTTTGCATCCCTGAGTTCAGTTGCAAAGGTTCCTAGAAATGAACTTGTCCCATCGAAGATGATCGATAATTGCCAGCTGAGAGACATGGAATGCGTGATCTGCGGTAGGACTAATTGACGGTCAGCACATGGACAATAGAAAGATGTATGTAAACCGTACCTGTCCTCCACGTGAACGCTACCTAGTGTTTCCAACGTAGATGTTGCTTTCCTCGCCCACTCTTCTTCTTCAGCTGTATCTCATGTCTGCGGTCTGTTTCTCCTCGCATAAGATACTGATTTGCGCCCGCAGGTGGTCTTCCCATGTCTGACATGCAGACTTCAAGACACTGACTGTTTGCGGGCACGGTGCAAGAGCTGCATAAATCGGGGAGGTGGGGCTTCAAGGCACGTTAACAAGATGGTACACAAACGGTTGAATGGCGCACATTCAGGGCTGCTCTTGCGCACGTTGAGTCAACAATTTTTGACGTGGGTTTCCCTGCCATCCTTCGGCATCCCCAGCGCCATCGATGCCGTCGTCATCTCGTTGTTCATTTGCTGTTGGGCAGATTAGAGATGCACATACGATACGTGGAGCTTGACTTACCAATAGTTAGCAACTAAAACAGTAGCAGCCCTCTGTGAGGAGCACTGACGAATGCTAATGTTGACGCGGGTGTATGTAGGGATTTCTTGCGAGTAATGTGCGGGGATGGACGTGTGGTTCTGGTTCTGTTTAAACTTTTGAGCACAAGAAGGTAGGCTTGGCGGAGTCCGAGGAACTTTGAATCTACATCACCAAAATTACCGAAATCAGACATCACTCAATTTTCTGACGCCACCAAACACTGACATCCGAAATATCGTCGGGATACATAGTACTGTTTGTCAGATCTCAACTTTCGCTGAGGTTGCTGGAACCGAAGATTTACTTGTGATGCTTGTCTAAATCTCTTATCTTAATCACAGCCGAAACACAGCAGACTTCCTCAAAAATCTCAGTGTCATATTCGTCCTAGTGGTGTTCAAGAAGAAGACGTTTCTCAATTAACTGGAAGATCTCATACAGCATGTAGCTGCGAACGCTGGTGTGTTGTTGTGTTTTTTCGGTGTTTGTGGTTTGTTCTGATGTTTTTTTTGGACGTTGGGTGATGGTTAGGTCCGAGTGAAGAGAGTCATGTTCCTACAGCAAATCGCGTTACTCGCGTGTTTGATCAGTGGAGTCGATATCCCTCCTCCCCCTCCGTCGTCTTCATCCTCAGAAGACGGTGTTTCTGATCGTGAGGAGGAATTGGAGGAGGTAGACTTTGCTGATATGGGAAAGATGTTTCCTACATAAGATTGGTACTGCTAAGGCTTCGACCAAGGCTAGAGTCCCACAAGTTGCCTCTTCTCCATCCAAGGAGGTATTCACTGGGGTAGATAGCAAGGGGAAACATTCTGTCGGGATTCCTCCATCTCGTCCAAGTTCCGCAGCACGGAAATACAGATATAACGCCCAAAAAACCTGTCCTCAAATCCGCCGAATCTCAAACGAAACAACCGCTTCTCCGGAATGTCTCCCAGAATCCGACGCCCCTACATGCTCATTCTTCGTGGATACAGAACCTACCAAACCATCCGCGCATCGCTCTGCTAGTGATGCCGTGCTTTTCGACCGTACCGCCGCCTGGGGCGGCGCCCCTCCAGGAGCAGATGACGAACTTATCGTATATGTTGCACCGCACCCATGATCAGGACGAGCTTCGCCTGTTCCTCCTATTCCCCGAGTACGGCTACTCACGAAGTCCATGCTGACAGGAACCACCAATCCGCAGGCTATAATGTCATTTTAATGCACAGGAATAGGCTAATTAGCAGAGTTTTGTAATGCAACAGCGTTGCTAGACGCGTATGCATTAACCGCCATCCTAATGCAGAATGTAATGCATTACTGATGCATCACTTTAGTTGGTGATGCATCACCTCCTACTACCCT